GTGTATAGTGTAGTGTATAGTGTAGTGTATAGTAGTGTAGTGTATAGTGTAGTGTACTCGTACAGCAGTCACCGGTTGTGTGCTGGAGAGTAAACCCACTGCCACATTTACAATTATAGTGTAGTGTATAGTGTAGTGTATAGTGTAGTGTATAGTAGTGTAGTGTATAGTGTAGTGTACTCGTACAGCAGTCACCGGGTGTGTGCTGGAGAGTAAACCCCACTACAACATTTACATTGATAGTGTAGTGTATAGTGTAGTGTATAGTGTAGTGTATAGTAGTGTAGTGTATAGTGTAGTGTACTCGTACAGCAGTCACCGGGTGTGTGCTGGAGAGTAAACCCCACTACAACATTTACATTGATAGTGTAGTGTATAGTGTAGTGTATAGTGTAGTGTATAGTAGTGTAGTGTATAGTGTAGTGTACTCGTACAGCAGTCACCGGGTGTGTGCTGGAGAGTAAACCCACTGCAACATTTACAATTATAGTGTAGTGTAAAGTGTAATGTATAGTGTAGTGTATAGTAGTGTAGTGTATAGTGTAGTGTATAGTAGTATAGTCTATAGTGTAGTGTATAGTGTAGTGTATAGTAGTGCAGTGTATAGTGTAGTGTATAGTGTAGTGTATAGTGTAGTGTACTCGTACAGCAGTCACCGGTTGTGTGCTGGAGAGTAAACCCACTGCCAAATTTACAATTATAGTGTAGTGTATAGTGTAGTGTATAGTAGTGTAGTGTATAGTGTAGTGTACTCGTACAGCAGTCACCGGTTGTGTGGTGGAGAGTAAACCCACTGCCACATTTACAATTATAGTGTAGTGTATAGTGTAGTGTATAGTAGTGTAGTGTATAGTGTAGTGTACTCGTACAGCAGTCACCGGGTGTGTGCTGGAGAGTAAACCCCACTACAACATTTACATTGATAGTGTAGTGTATAGTGTAGTGTATAGTGTAGTGTATAGTAGTGTAGTGTATAGTGTAGTGTACTCGTACAGCAGTCACCGGTTGTGTGCTGGAGAGTAAACCCACTGCCACATTTACAATTATAGTGTAGTGTATAGTGTAGTGTATAGTGTAGTGTATAGTAGTGTAGTGTATAGTGTAGTGTACTCGTACAGCAGTCACCGGGTGTGTGCTGGAGAGTAAACCCCACTACAACATTTACATTGATAGTGTAGTGTATAGTGTAGTGTATAGTGTAGTGTATAGTAGTGTAGTGTATAGTGTAGTGTACTCGTACAGCAGTCACCGGGTGTGTGCTGGAGAGTAAACCCCACTGCCACGTTTACAATTCGTGTACCGCGACGTTTCGCGACACATTTTATATTTACGCGATCGAACCAAAAAACCTCTATCATGGATCATATTTCTCGCGAAAGCCTCCTACTGCGTGTTAAACAGCACAAAGACAATGCACGTATACAGAGCATTCATCGCTCGGGGAGAGCAGCTCTATTGTGGCATTCCTTTTTTTTTTGCCAGTTATCAAAGGATGAAAAATAAGAATGGGTTTTGTTCCTTCCTGCCAATAAAACGGGTGCGAAAAACATTTTTTCGTTTTCCCTTTCTGGGTAAAACAGCCGTTTGATTGCCAGCAAAGGTAAAAATCCATCCTTATTTTGTGACACTTTTGATGAATTGCTGGCAAAAAAAAGGGTCCCGTAATGATAATAATGAAAACTACGATGCAAAAAAACAAAAACGCCACCACCACCACCACCACCGCCGCGTTAAACCACCGCGCGCGTGCCACGCCACCACGACCCCACCCGCCACCGAGGTGACGCTTCGTTTCACCCGGTGCCAGCCTCAGCGAGTCTCCCGTTACTTCTTTCCAAGAGGGTCCTGCCAAGTGTTCGTGCGTCGGAGGCGGCGGCGGCGGCGCGGGGGGGGCGATGATTTGCTGCTGCTGCTGCTGCTGAGTGTAGAATCCGATTTGAGTAACTCTGCCCGTGATTTCTTTCACCCTTTAGCAAAACTGGGCGCCCGCAACGCCGGCAACACGATGGCCAGCTCGTGCGAATGATGTCGCTGGATCTTCGAACGTCCAGCGCGTGTTTACAAAAAAAAAATGCTTTCACGTGCGTACGTTTGTACGTATGTTGAACTTCTTTCACACCGTACGTAGCCGACCGTGGCTAATCGGAGGTTGCGGTGGAGGGACAGTAAACTATACAATGCATGCGTGCTGAACTGCTTTCACACCGTACGTAGCCGACTGTGCTCATCGGAGGTGCGGGGGGAAGGACAACAAACTGAACACACACAGTCAGAATCGGTGTCACGTGTGCTCCTAAGGCTCACAGTACACGGCCCCCGTCCCTGCTCTCCATTCTGGGGGCAGTTGGAGGACATTCCACAGTGCTAAGGCAGGGGCCCGAGGTGCTGGTTAACATAACGGCCACCTTTGTAGATGCATTCCACCGTGCATCAAGCGTGGAGGGGGGTTCTCACCAGCCAGAACGTCTTTTACTGGCCCCAGAGATGATGATGATGATTGATCATTATTTATCATTGACAACTGAATGCCAAAGAGCCGCGAAGAACGTGATGATGGAGATGATTGAATGACCGATGATGATTTAATAATGACAGAGGATGATGAGTGATATAATTTAATGGTTAATAATGTTTAAGGCTGAATGATGATGATGATGATACGGTCATGACAGATGCGGATTGATTTGATGACATTGATGATGATGATGGTGGCATGAGTGCTTAAGTGATGATTAAGTAAAATGGTAATGATGATTACAATGACAGTAATCCATAATTATGGCTTTAAATAGATCATGACAATTATGGTGTACTGGTCCTAGAACGATTATTTATGATGATGATGAATTTGATGATGATCATGATGTCAGTGATGAGGATAGTGATGACGAGGACTGATCACGACTGAATAATGATTGAATGATTGAATAATGGTTGCTGATGACGACAATGACGGAGACGTCAGCTCGTCAACACAGACCAGGGATTGAACTCGGGGTTCCCGCACGTGGGAGCCTCTACGCCGTCGAACAAAATGCACATCATCTGGACCACGTGTCTCCCATGCAGTCTCTACATGACACCAGCACTTGAGTTGAGCACGAATTGCATTATTAAGGTGCCATCGACTGAACCGTGACCAACAGCGGCATGTGTACACACACACACACACGTGTGTACACACACATACACGTGTGTGCGTGTGTGTGTATTGGGAGCGGTGGTGTAGCGGTTAGCGCGCTGCGCTACGAACCCGGCGACCCGAGATCGATTCCCGCTCACGGCCAACACCAGTGACGATTGTCTGAAGCGATCCTGGGCCTCCCTTAGGTCGGCTGAGCCTCAAATGAGTACCTGGTGCGGTGTGTAAACATCGCCACTAGGGAAACAAAGGCGGTCGGGTGTGGTGCTGGCCACCCACCCACCCCCTCGCGTGCCGTGCCGGCCTTCATAGGTGCTCGTTAACAGCACTTGCCCCAACAGTCTGTTAAGCCTACACGGGGGATCTTTGTCTTTGTTGTTTGATGTATATATAAATACACGGTAACTTACATCGGAGTTGAGTGTTGACGCGGCTGCGACCAACTCCGCTCATAACTTCACCCCAGGGGCACGATGCCCCTTCACACTTAGCCGTCGATTCCATCAATTGCGCCATGGGTGGGGTGGTAGAGGTGGTGGAGGGGCGACGGCGGTGGAGGTGTGGAAGGGGGGAGTGGGTCAGGTGAGTGGTCGGCCAAGGTGGTGGTGGTGGTGGTGGTGGCGGCTGCCTCCCTTCGGGCCTGTCTTGTCTCACTGCAGGAATCCAGGTATCATCAGATCTGTAGCGCGCACGCACAGGAAGCAGCGGTGGGCGGGCGGACGGTTGGGCGGACTCAGCGATTCCATCTCCCAAACCGTGCGTTCAAAATTCGCTCCGTCGTCCGTTCTCGCCTTTCGTCGTTTGTGGGTTGTTGGTTTTTTTTTGGCCGCAGCCGTCGAATTTTTGACGTCGCGAAAGAAAATCCTCGCCGCCGGCATCATCGGGTTTATTTATTTTCGGTGAAAGCTCCACTTTGCGTGGCCTAACACACGAAATCAATCGCAGCATTGGCTGCAAAATCCTACGTGCGCACATTGTGTGTGTGTGTATGTATGCATGTACTGTATGTGTATGCATGTTGAACTTCTTTCGCGCCGTACGGAACCAACAGTGCCAATCGGAGGCGCAGGGGGAAGGACAACAAACTAATGTATGTTGAATTTCTTTCGCACCGTACGTAGCCAACCGTGCTAATCGTTGCTGCTGCTGTTGTTTCAGTTTCATTTATTAGGTACAGCCCTGTGAGCCATGCGGCTCTTGACTCGGGTGCAACCGCAACAAACAAAAACATGAGCAAAGAAACATCTCGAAGCGACGACGCGCAGCAGAAACCAGCAAAATATTCCAGAAAAAAAGATCCACCGTATATCAACGCTGTGTGCAAAAAATCCCAGTGGGATGCAAGTCAAAACAATAACAGCCATAAGACAGTTTAGGTTAAAGTTAGTTTAACACGTAGGCTTTCGCGACCAATATTATTCATAATAAAGGTTTTTGGGTTAGATCGCGTTTATTTATAAATGTGTCGTAACCCTCCACCACCCGATACGGCCAATCAGCAAAAAAAGTGTCACGTTGACAAAAGACAAATAATTCACTACTTTAGCCCACCGGTGTGTTGAAGAGTGAATCCACATTTACAGTTTGAGTACGACGTTTCGCTGGTAAATACATCCCAGCATCATCGGGCAATTCGCCAGAATGGTAAAGCCCTCGCTTGCTCCCGGTTTTATATAGGAGCAAGCGAGGGCTTTACCATTCTGGCGAATTGCCCGATGATGCTGGGATGCATTTACCAGCGAAACGTCGTACTCAAACTGCAAATGTTGTGGATTCACTCTTCAACACACCGGTGGGCTAAAGTAGTGAATTATTTGTCTTTTGTCAACGTGACACCTTTTTTGTTTGCTGATTGGCCGTGTCGGGTGGTGGAGGGTTTACGACACATTTATAAATAAACGCGATCTAACCCAAAAACCTTTATCATGAATGGGTTAAAGCTGTTGCGCGTCTCACCGTCCGGGCGTCTGGGCTCGATGTTCTCGTAGACGGGAGCCGCTACACTGCCCAGGAGGCTGCGGCTCTTCTTGGATCGGAGCTCCTCCAGCACGCACTGGTGCAGGAACACGTACTGGCACTGGACGGAGGTGGGTGTGGCGGCGACACACACAAAGACAAAGATCCCCCTCCGTGTTAGCCTTGAACAGACTGTTTGGGGCAAGCGCCGTTAGTGGCGGGCGGCAACCTATGACGGCCGGCACGGCGCACGATTGGGGTGGTGGGTGGCCAAACACCGCTCCCCGGCCGCCTTTGTCTCCCCCAGTGGCGATGTTTTTACACAGGTACTCGTTCGAGTCGACCTCGGGGATGTGCGCGCGTGTGTGTGTGTGTGTTGAACTTCTTTTGCACCGTACGTGGCCAACCGTGGCTAATTGTAGGTTTCGGGGCGAACGACAACGAACTAAACGTACAAAAAAGCAGCGCGAGAGAAACGAGTTTTCATCTTTAGCTCGTGGCCGCACGCACGCACGCACGCACCTCTGTCTGCACCATGAGCACCCGGTGCTGCCTGATGTCCCGCACTGTCCCGTAGACGTCCACCGCCCCGGCGCTGTCCATCTGCTGCAGCAGCCGGTCCAGCGCGATGAGCGTTCCAGTGCGGCCCACCCCGGCACTGCCCGGCGGAACAACGGCAAAGATCCCACCCGCCCGTATGTAGCCTTAACAGACTGTTGGGGCGGGGGCTGGTAGGGAGTAGCGGCACGTATGAAGGCCGGAGCGGCGCGCACGAGGGGGTGGATGGCCCAGGAACCTCGCCCGCGTGTGTGTGTAAGGGTTAGCAGTGGTTTCAGTGTCGGGTTGGTGGGGTTACGGTTAGCGACGGTGCCAGTGTGGAGTGGTGAAGGTCAGATATCGGCGGTTGTGGTGTGGTCCGGTACATACACACACACACCACACACACACACACATCTCGCACACACCATACGCACATCACACCACACATACCACACGCACACCACACACACCACACACACACAAACCACGCACACACCATACGCACATCACACCACACATACCACACACACACCACACACACCACACACACGCCATGCACACACCACGCACACACCATACACACATCACACCACACACCACACATACCACACACACACCACATACACACACACACACACACCACGCACACACCATACGCACATCACACCACACACACCACACATACCACACACACACCACACGCACACACCACGCACACACCATACGCACATCACACCACACACACACCACACACACACACCACACACACACACACCACACACACACAGCACACACAATACACAACACACACACACCACACACACCACACATCACACACACACACCACACACACACCACACACACACCACACACACCACACACACACACACCACACATCACACGCACACCACACACACAAAGCACACACAATACACCCCACACACACACCACACACACCACACACACACACACACCACACACACACCACACACACGCCACACACACCACACACACACCACACACACACACCACACATCACACGCACACCACACACACACACCACACAGACCACACATACACCACACACACCACACACACCACACACAAACACCACACACACCACACACACACACACACCACACACACACACCACACACACACCACACACAATACACACCACACACACACCACACATCACACACACACCACACACACCACACACCACACACACCACACACATCACACCACACACACACCACACACACCACACCACACACACACACCTGCAGTGCACCGCAGTCGGACCCCCGCCAGGGCTGCGGTTGGTGTAGTCGCGCACGGTACGCACAAAGCCCACGAGGGAGTGCGCCGTCTCAGGGACGCCGTGGTCCGGCCACACCGTGTAGTGGAACTGCCGCACCACGCGCGGGCTCTCTGACGGGTCCTCCTGTGCGTGTCCATCCGTCCGATCGCCCATTCGTCGTCAGCTCATTCGCTCACGCGTTCGTTCACGTTCAGGCAGTTTTCGGCCAGGCCATCGAACAAAGACGGATCACCGCATCGCGTCGCGCGCTTTCAGATGCGGCCGTCTGGAATGCTCTTCCCTTCCGATGTGAGGAAGCCACTGGGAGCTATGCAGTGTTAAATCATCTAGATTGACAAACTCATTTTTTTAGGACTGCTTTTTGTGTTTAGCTTCCTGCTCTTCCCCCGCACCTCCGATTAACGCGGTTGGCTACGTACGGTGCTCTGATACGTGCATCATACCTGTCAACCCCTTATCAGTGCCTACCTCATTACAGACCAATTCTAGACATTGTTGGTCAACCGGTGCCCTTATAAATATCAACGTTCATCCTACAAAGTCCCATTGCAAGGGAGAAACACAAACACGCCCGGGAGCGCGTCTCTCACCGTGTAGATCTTGAATTCGCGGAGCGTCCACTCAGGCAGCACAGACTCGGAGAACATCTGCACAATGAGATCGCCGTAGTACAGGGGGTCCTGGTCGAACGGCCAGTAGTGGTCGCACTTCACCTGCAACCACCGTGGCAAGAGGAAACAACGCGGCACCGCGGTGAGACTAGGCCCCGGCAAAAAATGCGCCAAGGTTGGGCCAATGTCGACGCATGCTTCGGAACCGTTGAAGCGAACGTTGGCGCAACGTTCCGTGTTTTACCGAGCGGTGAGGCCTAGCGAGGCCTGGCGAGAACTGATGAGGCCTAGTTAGGCTTAGTGATGCTCCATTGTAAAGTATGGCGAGGTCTGATGAGGCTTCATTAAATGAGAGCGATTTAATAGTGAGAATGAATTAATGAATGAGTGGTCGATTGCGAATTAATGAGAGCATAAGTGAGCAAGTGAACCTAGCCTTGGGGCCTGGGAAGGTTTGTGAGGCCTAGTGAGCCCTGGTTTGGGATGGTATGGTGAAGCTGTAGTGAGCACCTTATGGTGAGGCTTGGTGAGACTTGGTGAGGGGAGGCGAGGTAGAAATTTCTTAAAGAGGCCTAGGTAAGGCTTGGACTGAGAGGTTCCGTGAGGCTTGGTGGCATGAAGGAGAGGTCTGGTGAACAGCTGGGGTTACCCGAAGTTTAGACACTGGCACCTTGTGACCTAGTTTTCCCAGCTGGCCCAACGTTGGCCCAACGTTCCACGTTGAATGGATTGAGGCCTGTTGAAGGCTTTGCATATGCATGCATGCTCGTACGTGTGTGTGTGTGCACGCTCGTGCGTGTGCGTACATACGTGTGCATGCTCGCGCGCGTGTGCATGCTCACGCGTGCGCGCCCGCGTACGTACCCGCCCTCGCTCCACGCACTGCGTCACCATGACGACATTGTGTACGTTCTGCTCCCACACCATCCTCCAGAAGTCGTCCTTCGTTCCGGGAAGGGGGCCTTGCGTCGCCACGAACTCGCGCCGGAAGCTGCAGCCCTGGTGGGAGGGACGATTCCGCGACGGTGGCGGTGTCATTAACGACGACGACGTTAACGACACAAAGACCCCCCCCCCCCGTATAGCCATTTAGCCATTACAGGACTGTCGGGGCAAGTGCTGTTAGCGAGCTCATATGAAGACCGGCATGGTGGCACACCAGGGGGTGGGTGGCCAGCACCGCGCCCGGCCGCCTTTATCTCCCCCATTGGCGATGCCTTTACTAACCGCACCGGGGTACTCCTTTGAGGCTCAGTCGACCTAGGGGGAGGCCCAGGACCGGTTCGGATCATCATCACCGGTGTTAGCCGTGAGCGGCAATCGAACTCGGGTCGCCGGGTTCGTAGCGCAGCGTGAAGCTAACCACTGCACCACCGCTCCCAGCCTGGCACACACACCGTGGTGATGCCATCGCCGCTTAGTGCCAAATGGCAGTTGTTGTTGTTGTGTGGGGAGTGGCTAATTCTTCACGCTACAAGCCCGGCGACTCGAGTGCCATTCACCGCTCACGGCCCCAGGTTGGGGCGGGGGGGCGGCTGCTCCTTACCGGGATGTAGTTGGCGTTGATGTAGTCGGAGCTGGGGTCGTCGTCGAAGCAGGACAGCTTAACCCTCGTCGCGTCGTCTGGAAGGGAACGCAACGGGCACAGAGGTCACCGAGGTCACAGTGGTCAACGAGGTCACCGAGGTCACCACGGTGGCGGTGGAAGCGAGAGAGACGGGTAGGAGGAGGGAGGAGAAGGAGGCCAAGGTACGGATCGGAGAACAGAGGCGGAATACATGTACAGATGATCATCGATTCATTATCCGGCAGCTTCTAACATTATCCGGTGGTCCCGGGTCAATCCGGTGAAACCGGCAAAACCGCTAGAAAGGCTGTAACCAGTGTGGTGATCGGCACCGTGTGCGTGACAAACAAAGTTGCTCTGCTTGATATCAGTGTTACATATTACACACGGTACATTATACACTACATACAATTTACTACATACAAACTCTACATACAACTTGATATCAGTGTTAAATATTTTATACACTACATTATACATGACATACAACTTACTCCATACAAACGCTACATACAACTTGATATCAGTGTTAAATATTATATACACTACATTATACACTACATACAACTTAAACAATGAACCTACTGCACGTTATATACATCACCCCGTGCAGAGGCTTCGAGATTGGAGTGGTGTAAGTACAGTACAGTAAATACAGTCACTTTTAAAGTCGGGCATTTATTTGCGTCCATTTGTATGTTTATTTAGGCCAATTCCAGATAGCAAACACATTTAAAACACCTGAAAAAACATAAACACAACACCTAAAAATATTATGTCATACAGGACTGCGCAAAAAGATGATATTTTAAATAATCAAGATTAGAAGTGAATTTGACTTAAAACTTTCGTGACTGCAGGAATTAATATTCGTTGGTTCTTTCAGTAAAGTCACGTAGAACAACCAGGCTACAGTCTACATTATAGACTGTCAGTACACTCACTCCGATTAAGAACCAGGCTACAGTCTAAATTCATGTTTTTTTTATTTTAAAATGTTTCTATCTACGTGACTTTACCGAAAGAACCAAAGAATAGAAGTGATTATCCGGCGTTTTCGAAGCCGCCGGATCATCGATGATCAGTGTGTACGTGTACGTAACACCCCCCCACCCCACCCCCCCTGGCCTGACCCAACGATGGTTCTGAAACATAAATGTATGAACTAATGAACGTCAATATTTCGACCCAATTGTCCATTTGGTAAGGTATATCCTAACTCAGCTAGTACGGTCACTGCAAGCGAATAACAACAACAAAAATAAACGGACACTCTGCACACGTGAGGTCATTTGCTTTGATAGGTGCATCATACCTGTCAACCCCTTATCAGTGCCCTACCTCATTACAGAGCAATTCAGACCTTATTGGTCACACCGTGCCCCTTATAAATCTCAATGTTCATCCTACAAAGTCCCATCACAAGGGAAAACACAAACAAATAGACAAACACATTTTTTGCCCGTATTGAAACGGCTGTACGCCGTATAGGACCTGAATAAACTCAATTTCCCTGTACAAGAATACGGGGTAAACCGTATGGGTTGGCAGGCATGCGTGCATTGTCTTTGTCCTGGTCGCCTTTTGGCATTGTTCTCTGGTCTGCCACTAGTGATACAATGCCTTACAGAAGGCTGTAGCCTGGTGTAGGCCAATGAGTTTCAAAGACAATGCCCATTTTTCATAATTATCAGAGCATGTTTTGTTTGTGTAGTGCAGTGGAACGACACTACGCTGTATTGGCTCGGTATGGGGCTGTCGGGGGTCGTGTCGGGCCGTGACACACTGCGTGAACCCAACAGGACACGTGACCGGATAACGGGGGGGGGGGCCAGGGGCCCCAGGGGAGTCACGTGGTTGGGGGGATCGGGAAGGGGGGCGTGGCCTGGGGCAGAGCAGGCCAGGCCGGAGTGGTTATAAGCGGGGTGTGGATGGAGAGCTGGGGGCTGTTCTGTGCTGTTCTGCTGCTGGGTCATCTCTGGGATGAAGCTCTCCGGTCTCCGCTAGTGGACCAGGCAGCGTGTCGGGCTGTCCTGGTCCAGTAATGTAGTATCCCCGTGTGTTAGTTAAGTTAGGAAAGGTGGCTAACCACCTTAAGTCGTTATGTTAAGTGTTAATTATGTTACCTAAAAAACAGTGTTGCCTCCAAAGTTGCAGTGTGCGCCTGAATTTAACCCACTACATTTGCATGTTCACCGCAAGTACCGCGTGTGTGTTTAATGCAGCAACTTGATGCCTTGCAAAAGGTTTCGTCTATTTGGTGTCTGAACGTCTTGACACAACTCCTATTTTATTGCCAGCAAGGGTAAACACCTATTGTTGCTTTTTCACACTTTGACACTGGCAAAAAGGTCCCGTAGATATGCGAGGTAATCTGTCTGCGCCAGGGACGTGCAGTCAGGGGAGGCAGGGGAGGCTTGAGCCTCACCTGTCAGACGCCAATGAAAATAGTTGTTACGAAAAGTAAAAAAAGAGAATAATACAATTAAATAAATATTAAGATTTTTTCCACTGAACTGTGTTATAAATGTAATTTCTGTACGATTCCAATCATTTTTAAAGTCAAAATCGCCAAATTTGCGGAGCTACGCTGCAAAGACAGCAAGAGACGAGGGGTGAGGCAGCGACAAGCTCAGCCTCACTGAAGGGGGACGTGTCTAACACGCCCCCCTCAGTGAGGACACGCCCCCTCAGTGAGGCCACGCCCCTTCCGTGAGGCCACGCCGCCCTCAGTGTGTGAATCTGGCTCTGACACTAGTCAGTGCCTCCCCAGCCATTGACCTCACCGCACGTCACTGGCCTGCGCTTACTCTTGGAAAGCCAACATTGTTGACGATCGACGAGTTCAGAAAGGTCGTTTAAGTCCTTCTAGGTTGACCGTACGGGTTTACTTTATTTTATCGTAGTTATTTTATGTTGGGCAGGCTCATTGCGCGATTATATTCACCAATGAGTCTCGCGTACGAGATAAGTTCAAGCGTTTATACATCACCTGACGTGTACCCCCTGGGACATTACCACGTCACCCCCAGGGGTCCGTTTACCCCCGGTTGGCAACCAGTGGTGCAGTGTAGTGTTTAGTGTAGTGTATAGTGGTGCAGTGTAGTGTATGGTGTAGTGTATAGTAGTGTATAGTGTAGTGTATAGTGGTGCAGTGCAGTGTATAGTGTAGCGTATAGTGTAGTGTATAGTGGTGCAGTGTAGTGTATAGTGTAGTGTATAGTAGTGTATAGTGGTGCAGTGTATAGTGTAGTGTATAGTGTAGTGTATAATGGTGCAGTGTATCGTGGTGCAGTGTAGTGTATAGTAGTGTATTGTATAGTGTAGTGTATAATAGTGTATTGTATAGTGTAGGAGTGCAAAGTATAATAGTCAATAGCCTAGTGTATAGTATGTACGTAATGTATGATATCATTTTTCACATTTATAAATCACCTTCTCACATTACCCCCTCGGACATTACCCCAGGAGTCCGCATACCCCCGATTGGCAACCACTGGTGTAGTGTATAGTGTAGTGTAGTGTGTAGTGTATACTGTAGCATTTACGTAATAACTCTTTCGGATGATATCGTTTCACACGTTTATAAATCACAACCATGTTACCCCCTGGGACATTACCACGTATCCCCGCAGGGGTCCGCCTCGTACCCCCCAGTTCATACCCACTGCTCTAGGGGGTATGGGCAACATCGTGGTTTTGTGAGAGATGGTGCCTGGTGACGTGGTAATCGGTCAGGTGGACCGGCCCCCCCCCCCACAATATTTAATTTGTCTCTTCACTAAACGTTAACCGGCTCTAATTCAATAACAACAAAAATGTGAACGTGGAAACGTTCAACGGAATTGCATTGTCACCTCAAAAAGCAAACTGAAACCGCGTTTTTAAATAAGCGTTGTCGCTGTTGTCTCTCTCACGCTGTTGTCGGACACAAATCTCATGGTCGGTTGTCACAACAGGGGGGGGGGGGGGGCCTCCAAGTCGTAGCTTTGGCCACCACCAGGGGGGTCAAAGCACCTCCCCCCCCCCCCCCCCCGGGCGAGGCCCCCCCACGCTCGTTACGCTACCCAAAGCCGCCGCTTTGTGTGCGTAGACCTCGACCCCAGCGGCGGAATGATCGCGACTTAAAGCCGGCGGCGGACGACGGGACCACTCACAGGGCAGTACGTTGTTGTAGCGATTCTTGCCGCGGTTCTCCGGTAGGAGCGCCGCATCCTGGGACTGCTGCCGCCCCACGTCCTTGAGATCCTTTCGCGAGCGACGGGCGGGGGGCAACGAGAGGCAGGGGTCACAATCGAGAGGCAGAATCTGGTCGTGTCTTTTTTCTATCTTTGGGAAGTGCAATGAGCTAGGAAGTTTTTTTTTTTTTTAAACACAGGTGTCTGATCATGGGCCACGGCATTGCTGTAAACCCCTTATGGGTGCTCTACTTTATTACAGACCAAGTCAGACCTTATTGGTCACCCTGTGCCCCTTTTAAATCTCAACGTTCATCCTACAAAGTCCCATCACAAGGGAGAAACACAAACACATAGACACTCACCACCACTACGCTCACCACTAGTACACTTACCACTGCTACTCTTACCACTAGTACACTCACCACTAGTACAATCATCACTAGTACACTCACCACTAGTACACTTACCACTAGTACACTCACCACTAGTACACTCACCACGAGTACACTCACCACGAGTACACTCACCACTACACTCACCACTAGTACACTCACCACTAGTACACTCACCACTACACTCACCACTAGTACACTCACCACTAGTACACTCACCACTACACTCACCACTAGTACACCACCACTACTACACTCACCACTAGTACACTCACCACTAGTACACTCACCACTAGTACACTCACCACTACACTCACCACTAGTACACTCACCACTACACTCACCACTAGTACACTCACCACTGGTACACTCACCACGAGTACACTCACCGCTAGTACACTCACCACTACACTCACCACTAGTACACTCACCACTAGTACACTCACCACTAGTACACACACTCACCACTGGTACACTCACCACTAGTACACTCACCACTAGTACACTCACCACTACATTCACCACTACACTCACCACTAGTACACTCACCACTAGTACACTCACCACTACTACACTCACCACTAGTACACTCACCACTAGTACACACAATCACTAGTACACTCAGCACTACGCTCATCAGTACTGTCATCATCATCATCAGCAGTAGTAGTACTATCATCATCATCAGCAGCAGTAGTACTGTCATCATCAGCAGCAGTAGTACTATCATCATCAACAGCAGCAGTAGTACTATCATCATCAGCAGCAGTAGTACTATCATCAGCAGCAGTAGTACTATCATCATCAGCAGCAGTAGTACTGTCATCATGAGCAGCAGTAGTACTATCATCAGCAGTAGTAGTACTATCATCATCATCAGCAGTAGTACTATCATCATGAGCAGTAGTAGTACTAGCATCATCAGCAGCAGTACTATCATCATCAGCAGTAGTACTGTCATCATCAGCAGCAGTACTATCATCAGCAGTAGTACTGTCATCATTAGCAGCAGTACTATCATCATCAGCAGCAGTAGCACTATCATCATGAGCAGCAGTAGTACTATCATCAGCAGCAGTAGTACTGTCATCATCATCAGCAGTAGTACTATCATCAGCAGCAGCAGTACTATCATCATCAGCAGCAGTAGTACTGTCATCTTCAGCAGCAGTAGTACTGTCATCATCAGCAGCAGCAGTACTATCATCATCAGCAGTAGTACTATCATCATCAGCAGTAGTACTATCATCATCAGCAGTAATACTATCATCATCAGCAGCAGTAATACTGTCATCATCAGCAGCAGTAGTACTGTCATCATCATGAGCAGTAGTACTATCATCATCATGAGCAGCAGTAGTACTGTCATCATCAGCAGTAGTACTATCAGCAGCAGCAGAATCATCATGCTTCACCATCATTGTCACCATCGTAAGGTCACACATCCAACAATCGTGATACGTTGGCCCAACGAGTTACAGCGACATGCTAACACGACCGCAACAGTGGCGCGTGGTGCCGGGCAGGTCTAAAAATATTTAAAACTATTTATTTTTTATTCTACCAGGTAAGGCCCACTGAGATAGATAGATATATAGATAGTGTTTGATCAGAAGCGACCTGGCTATCACAAATGATAGCTCAACGAAGTGGCTTTTCATTGTCACGTGAAAATGTTTAGCAGCCAAATACTCTAAACGCGTGTCTCTTAACGTGGAGGGAAACCGGAAGAGCCCGGAAAAAAATCCACGCGTCAGGGTAGGGGGTCGAACCCACGATCTCCTGTATACCAGGCGAGGTAGTTAACATCTCATAGCCAGAGTGATGATGATGAGAGACACAAACTGTGTGTGGTGTGTGTGTTGGCTGTGTGTTTGGGGTGTGTGGGGTGTTTGTGTGGGGCGTGTGTGAGGTGTGTGTGGGGTGTGTGGGGTGTGTGAGGTGTATGTAGGGTATGTGTGGGGGGTGTGTGTGTTGTGTGTATGGGGTGTGTCTATGGAGTATGTGTATGGGTGTGTGGTGTGTGTGTGTGTATGTGGGGTGTGTGTGGTGTGTGTGTGTGATGTGTGTGGTGTGGTGTGTGTGGTGTGTGTGGGTGGTGTGTGTGTGTGTTTACGTGTGGGGTACGTGTGTATGTGTGGTGTGTGTGTGTGTGGGGTACGTGTGTGTGTGTGGTGTGCGTGTGTATGTGGGGTGTGTGTGAGGTGTGTGTGGCGTGTGTATGTGGGGTACGTGTGTGTGTGTGGTGTGTGTATGGGGTGTGTGTGCGTGTGGGGTGTGTATGGGGTGTGTGTGAGGTGTGTGTGGCGTGTATGTGGGGTACGTGTGTGTGTATGGGGTGTGTGTGGTGTGTGTGTGTTGTGTGTGCGTGTGGGGTACGTGTGTATGTGGGGTGTGTGTATGGGGTGTGTGTGTGCGTGTGGGGTGTGTGTGAGGTGTGTGCGAGGTGTGTGTGGCGTGTGTGTGAGGTGTGTGTGGCGTGTGTATGTGGGGTGTGTGTGTATGGGGTGTGTGTATGGGGTGTGTGTGTGGTGTGTGTGTGTTGTGTGTGTGTGTGCGGTACGTTTGTGCGTCCTCTCCTCCGCCTTACCTCGAACTCCTGCGAGAGGAGGTAATTGGAGTCGGCCTGCAGCTTGCGCAGGTGATTCTCAAAGTCGGACAGGTAGATGGGACTGGGAATAGCCAGGAGAGAGAATGTGGAATCAGTGGCCGCGTCGGTGAGAGAGAGCAGGGGGCGGTGGGGAGTTAAATTTTCATGGCAGTTATGTACTGGACGCTGAACTTCTTTCGCACCGTACGTAGCCAACCGTGCCGTGTATGGGATTCGGTGGCCGTGTATGGGATTCTTTTGGTCCCTGTATATAATTGGCGCACGGCGTTGATATGAGATGCTGTCAGCACGACCGACGGCTACGCAAAATGAAAGTATCTTGTCTCATTTTGACTACAAGCTTTCGTGACGGCAGGAATTCATATTCGTTGGTTCTTTCGGTAAAGTCATAACAATAAAATGTTATTGTTATTATTTTTCAATCGACGTGAATTTACCCATGTTTACGAAGTGCTTTTACCCAAGGCGCTTTGCAGGGGGTAACGAGGGGGACGATCGGGGGTACAGTGAGGGAACAAAGTATTTGATCCCCTGCTGATTCTGTACGTTTGCCCACTGACAAAGAAATGATCAGTCTATAATTTTAATGGTAGGTTTTTTTTTAAACAGCGAGAGACAGAATAACAACAAAAATATTCAGAAAAACGCATGTCAAAAATGTTAGAAATTGATTTGCATTTTAATGAGAAAAATAAGTATTTGACCCCTCTGCAAAACATGACTTAGTACTTGGTGGCAAAACCCTTGTTGGCAATCACAGAGGTCAGACGTTTCTTGTAGTTGGCCACTAGGTTTGCACACATCTCAGGAGGGATTTTGTCCCACTCCTCTTTGCAGATCTTCTCCAAGTCATTAAGGTTTCGAGGCTGACGTTTGGCAACTCGAACCTTCAGCTCCCTCCACAGATTTTCTATGGGATTAAGGTCTGGAGACTGGCTAGGCCACTCCAGGACCTTAATGTGCTTCTTCTTGAGCCACTCCTTTGTTGCCTTGGCCGTGTGTTTTGGGTCATTGTCATGCTAGAATACCCATCCACGACCCATTTTCAATGCCCTGGCTGAGGGAAGGAGGTTCTCACCCAAGATTTGACGGTACATGGCCCCGTCCATCGTCCCTTTGATGCGGTGAAGTTGTCCTGTCCCCTTAGCAGAAAAACACCCTCAAAGCATAATATTTCCACCTCTATGTTTGACGGTGGGGATGGTGTTCTTGGGGTCATAGGCAGCATTCCTTCTCCTCCAAACACGGCGAATTGATTTGATGCCAAAGAGCTCCATTTTGGTCTCATCTGACCACAACACTTTCACCCAGTTGTCCTCTGAATCATTCAGATGTTCATTGGCAAACTTCAGACGGCCATGTATATGTGCTTTCTTGAGGAGGGGGACCTTGCGGGCGCTGCAGGATTTCAGTCCTTCACGGCATAGTGTGTTACCAATTGTTTTCTTGGTGACTGGTCCCAGCTGCCTTGAGATCATTGACAAGATCCTCCCGTGTAGTTCTGGGCTGATTCCTCACCGTTCTCATGATCATTGCAACTCCACGAGGTGAGATCTTGCATGGAGCCCCAGGCCAAGGGAGATTGACAGTTATTTTGTGTTTCTTCCATTTGCGAATAATTGCACCAACTGTTGTCACCTTCTCACCAAGCTGCTTGGCAATGGTCTTGTAGCCCATTCCAGCCTTGTGTAGGTCTACAATCTTGTCCCTGACATCCTTGGAGAGCTCTTTGGTCTTGGCCATGGTGGAGAGTTTGGAATCTGATTGATTGCTTCTGTGGACAGGTGCCTTTTATACAGGTAACAAGCTGAGATTAGGAGCACTCCCTTTAAGAGTGTGCTCCTAATCTCAGCTCGTTACCTGTATAAAAGACACTTGGGAGCCAGAAATCTTTCTGATTGAGAGGGGGTCAAATACTTATTTCCTTCATTAAAATGCAAATCAATTTATAACATTTTCGACATGCGTTTTTCTGGATTTTTAAATTGTTATTCTGCCTCTCACAGTTCAAACAACCTACCATTAAAATTATAGACTAATCATTTCTTTTTCAGTGGGCAAACATACAAAATCAGCAGGGGATCAAGTACTTTTTTCCCTCACTGTAGATAAAGGCGGTATGGGGAGGGAGGGGGGGTATGGGAATTACTTGGGGGGGGGGGGAGTTACCTAGGGATGGAGGGAAGGATTGGGCCAGGGATGAGTGTGGGTCTCGAGGGAGTAGTGGAAAGTGGACAGGGAGGACGATCGCTTCGTGCGGAGGAGAAATTTGTTCCATCCTCCCGCTCGGATAGCCACAGACGTGGAGCTGCTTGTAAGCGAATCGTCAAAGAATGCATTGTTTAAATGCATGCCCATACAGGTCAGCACACTTCAATGGGGATTACCGTTGGTACGGCTATTTTGGTGCACACAATCGACAGACAGTACAAGAAAAATGGGCTCCCTTAATGAGCATGCATAATGTACGTTGATTACCATATTAATATGCATTAATTAATCCCCCCCCCGCCCCCCACTTCGCGCAAGAATAGAGTTGTCATCGCATCTACGCCGCTATTTAAGGAACGAAACAGGGGGACTTCTCCACAAATCTGGCTGTCCGCCTGATGATTGCTGGTTGTAATTACTGACGAAACGTCGTTACTCAAATTGTAAATGTTGTGGCTTGGCTCTCTAACACACAACCGGTGTTGTTGTACTAGTACACTACACTATACACTACACTATTATACACTGCACTATACACTACTATACACTACACTATTATACACTACACTATACACTACTATACACTATTATACACTACACTATTATACACTACTCTACACACTACACTATACACGACACTATTATACACTACACTATACACTACACTATTATACACTACACTATATACTACACTACACACTACACTATACACTACTATACACTACACTATACACTACACTATACACTACTATACACTAGACTATACACTACACTATACACTACACTTTACACTACTATACACTACACTATACACTACACTTATACACTACACACTACACTATATACTAATGCTGTACTAGTGACGAATTGGCCACGTTCTGTTTACGTGACAAACCCCTTAACTAGTTGGCTGTGTGGGGCTGCTGGCAGGTTTAACGGCGTCACCACATCTGTGTATTTACGCGATGTAACCCCCCAAAACCCCTGTATCATGGAACTTATTATGACATGTCAAATGAGACGCCACGTTGTTGTACACCGAGGTCAATGAAGCGGACGCAACAAGACGCGGCCCGAGCGCGGGGACGAACGTCGGCCCGACGTTGGGCCAGCGACGTCCCGCGTCTGCCGCCCACCGGGCAACCGCGGTGGTGTGGCCGTTTGCACCGCCCGGTGAATTGGGGCGGCCGGGGCAGAGATGGGATGGGGGGGGGGGGGGGCGAGAGGCTGGGAGTTCCGCAACTTTTCCCTCTTTCGTTTCAACTGGAGCGCCTGGAATTGGAAGCAGACTGCCTATTTCTTGCGCCGCGGTGGCGAGATGTTAACCGCCTCGCCTGGTATGCGGGAGGTCGCGAGTTGGATCGCGGCTCTGACGCGTGATTGCGTGTCTCTCTCTCTCTGTCTCTCTCTCTCTCTCTCCATCTCCCCATGGTCGCATGGTTTTTATTCTCCGTTTTTTTTCGCCGCTACGCATTCAGAATCGACTTCACTCCGTTTAGAGTGCTTGTCTGCTGCAATAAATGTCCACACGACGATGATGATGATGATGATAAGCCCACTTTGTTGAGCTGCCGTTTGTGATCGCCAGATAGCTTCTGAAAAAGCGCTACATGGCAGCTCAGTGGGGCCCTTACCTGGTAAAAAAATATATATATTTTTTTAAATACGCGTTTTAGTTTTCAATCGCCATGCCCGGAGATGGAATGGAACCGGCGTCCTCTGAATCGCGGCGACCTCTGAATCGGCGACCTCTGAACCGGCGACCTCTGAACCAGCGACCTCTTGAAATGGAGACCTCTGAACCGGCGACCTCTGAACCGGCGACCTCTGAACCAGCGACCTCTTGAACTGGAGACCTCTGAACCGGCGACCTCTTTAACTGGAGACCTCTGAACCGGCGACCTCTGAACCGGTGACCTCTGAGCCAGCGACCTCTTGAACTGGAGACCTCTGAACCGGCGACCTCTTTAACTGGAGACCTCTGAACCGGCGACCTCTGAACCGGTGACCTCTGAACCAGCAACCTCTTGAACTGGAGACCTCTGAACCGGCGACCTCTTTAACTGGAGACCTCTGAACCGGCGACCTCTGAACCGGTGACCTCTTTAACCGGCGACCTCTGAACCGGCGACCTCTTGATCGCGAGCCCGCTTAACACCGCCACCGCGGCGACCCCGCGGGGCAAACACCGAGCGACGTCTAGAGCTTCCCCGGCTGTGCGAGCGCGGGGGGTTTCACCTCCTCTCGGTCTTGCGTTGGGTCTTGGAGCCCGCCGTTTTCTCAGGCGACTTCAGCTGCATCGGCTTGTCCCGCTTTTGCCTGCAACGGCAAAGTTGCCGCGTGACTGCGGTGACCGACCAACACCGGCCCCTTGCTACCGGAATTCTGAGTGTGTCAGGTGCGAGTGTGTGTTAGTGTGCGTTTGTTTGAGAAGATGTTCCATTACAGGGGGGGTGTGTCCCACGTTTCGCAAGCGTAGAGAAGGGAGGGCATGACCGTGGCCGAGAAGGCCCGAAGCTTTGTGTGGAGCTACAGACCAGCTAGCGTCCACGCGGTAGCCGCTTGACTGATTCGGAGTGAGAACCTCTGCTGTCAAACCGGAGCCGGTTATGAGCACGCTGCCCAAGTATGGAAAACTCGACACTCTCTCCAAAACTGCTCCATCAGTTGGCACAGTAGGGGGCACAGGTGGTGCATCGGCCAGTCATCTCAGTCAGTCGACCCATGGCACCTGCTGGGTCTGTCCCGTGAGCTCTTGCCGGCGGGCGTTCGACACTTCACGTGGCCTTATAGTGCACCTAGCCTGGCACAAGCGCCGTGGTGATGTCACTGCCACTTAGTGGGGAATGGCGGTTGTTGTTATAGTTGTGCTTGAGAGTGTATGAGAGTGAGTGTGTGAGTGCTGGCAATCATAGGTCGTACTTGCTAAAAGCACTTGCCCCAACAGTCTGTTATGTGTGTGGTCAGCGGTAGTGTAGCGGTTAGCACACTGCGCTATGAACCCCACGACCCGCGTTCCAATTTCCGCTCACCGATCCTGGGTCTCCCCTAGGTCAGCTCAGCCTCAAATGAGTACCCGGTGCGGTGTGTAGTAAACATCGCTGCTGGGGAGACAAAGGCGGCCGGCCGTGGTGCTGACCACCCAACCCCTCGTGTGCCGTGCCGGCCTCCATAGGTGCTGCTCGCCAACAGCACTTGCCCCACCAGTCAATCAAGGCTACACGGGGGACCCTTGCCCTTTGTTAGCGCGGAGCGGCGGCGCAAGAGGCCAGCGCCCGGCGAGCCGAGTTCGATTCCCACTCGCGGCCCGCGGCGGCCCGTCACGGGCCTACTCGGGGGGCCGGAGCCTTTCGCCTGTTTTGGCGTTGGCCGCGGGTGACGAGCGCGGTGCGGCGGCGGGGGGCGGAAACGCCGGGGTTCCGGCGCGGGCGGAGCGTGCCGCTGGCCACGTACGGCACGAGGGCCTTGCGCTTCCAGTAGAGGAGGGCGGCGGTGGAGACGAGCAGCAGCGAGAGGGCGATGCCGGCGAGGGTTCCCTCCACCGGGCCCCAGAACTCCTCTGCGTTCACGCGGCACAGACAGGCGACGACGGCGGCGGGTCAACCCGTCTGTGCCTTGAACTTCCGTCGCACCGTACGTAGCCGACCGCGCTAATCGGAGGTCTACAAGCCTTGGATGGATGTTTTTTTAATATATATATTTTTTTACACTGCACAAGCGAGCCGCGCCGGGGACAAGGCGAGCCAGCTCGGCGTGGAATGGGAGGGAGGGGAGGGGGAGAGGAGGGGGGGAGATAGGGGGGGAGGGAGGGAGGGGGGGAGGGAGGGAGGGGAGGGAGGGGAGCGGAGGGGGGGAGGGGGGAGGGATGGAGGGAGGGGAGGGAGGGAGGGGAGGGAGGGAAGGAGGGAGGGGAGGGAGGGAGAGGAGCGGAGGGGGGGAGGGAGGGGGGAGGGATGGAGGGAGGGAGGGGAGGGAGGGAGGGGAGGGAGGGAAGGAGGGAGGAGAGCGGAGGGGGGGAGAGAGGGGAGCAGAGGGGGGGAGGGAGGGGGGAGGGATGGAGGGAGGGGAGGGAGGAAGGGAGGAAGGGAGGGTGGTTTTTTCCCACTGCGGGAGCCGAGCCGTGCCGCCGACGTCACGCGCGATGAATGCGTGGAGAACGCACGGAGGGAGACGGAGCACACGGACGCACCTGGCGCGGTGAGGATGGGCGCGGAGAAGAATGTGTCGGTGAAGAGCGGCTCGTCGAGACCTCGGGGGACGTCCTGCAGCGCCGTGTAGGCCCTCACGCTCAGCCTAGTCACAACCACAACCACCACACGCTCAGCCTAGCCACAACCACCACACGCTCAGCCTAGCCACAACCACAACCACCACACGCTCAGCCTAGCCACAACCACCACACGCTCAGCCTAGCCACAACCACAACCACCACACGCTCAGCCTAGCCACAACCACCACACGCTCAGCCTAGCCACAACCACAACCACCACACGCTCAGCCTAGCCACAACCACAACCACCACACGCTCAGCCTAGCCACAACCACCACACGCTCAGCCTAGCCACAACCACCACACGCTCAGCCTAGCCACAACCACAACCACCACACGCTCAGCCTAGCCACAACCACCACACGCTCAGCCTAGCCACAACCACCACACGCTCAGCCTAGCCACAACCACAACCACCGCGCGCTCAGCCTAACCACAACCACCGCACACTCGTCCAATGTATGCACGTCGAAGTTCTTTACCGCCGCTCATCGGCGGTGGCCCAACCCCGACCCACCGGACGCTCGGCCCGACCACGACCGCACCCACCGCACCGCCGCTCCCCCACGCGGCCACGCGGACCGGGGGATGGCGGCGGCGGCGGCGGCGGCGGCCCTCACCGGTAGGGCGTGTTGGGCCGCAGCGGCCCCCCGTGGCAGGGCCCCCCCGCGGCGTCCGCGCAGCCCCAGGCGGCGTCGGCGCGCCCGGCGCCGACCTGCGTGGAGAAGGCGCCGAGGCGGTCGCGCAGGCAGCGGTTGGCGAAGGGCGGCGTGGCGTACACCTTGACGGAGGCGTTGCGCGCGTACTCCTCGTACGGCGGCAGCGAGCGCCGCGGATCCGGCTTGGCGGGCGACGTGTCTGCGGGAGGAGGAGTGGGGCGAGGAGGAGGAGGAGGAGGAGGAGTGGGGCGAGGAGGAGGAGGAGGAGGGGGGCGAGGAGGGAGGTGTCATCGATGCCGTCATTGTCATCATCAGTCATCGTCGCCATCGTCGGCTCTGTCATCGTCGTCGTCATCGTTACGATCGCCATTTGTTAACTTGATCATCATCGTCGCCATCGTCGGCTCTGTCATCGCCGTCGTCATCGTTACGATCGCCATTGGTAACTTGATCATTATCGTTGTCATCATCGGCTCTGTCTTCGTCGTCATCATCATTACGATCGCCATTGGTAACTTGATCATCATCGTCGTCATCATCGGCTCTGTGTTTGTCGTCATCATCATTATGATCGCCATTGGTAACTTGATCATTATAGTTGTCATCATCAGCTCTGTCTTCGTCGTCGTCATCATTATGATCGCCATTTGTTAACTTGATCATCATCGTCATCATCAGCTCTGTCATCGTCGTCATCATCATTATGATCGCCATTGGTAACTTGATCATCATCGTCGTCATCATCAGCTCTGTCTTCGTCGTCATCATCATTATGATCGCCATTGGTAACTTGATCATCATCGTCGTCATCATCGGCTCTGTCATCGTCGTCATCGTTACGATCGCCATTGGTAACTTGATCATTATCGTCGTCATCACCGGCTGTCTTCGTCGTCATCATCATTATGATCGCCATTGGTAACTTGATCATCATCGTCGTCATCATCGGCTCTGTCTTCGTCGTCGTCATCATTATGATCGCCATTGGTAACTTGATCATCATCGTCGTCATCATCGGCTCTGTGTTTGTCGTCGTCATCATTATGATCGCCATTTGTTAACTTGATCATCATCGTCGTCATCATCGGCTCTGTCTTCGTCGTCGTCATCATTATGATCGCCATTTGTTAACTTGATCATCGTCGTCATCATCGGCTCTGTCTTCGTCGTCATCATCATCATCATCGCCATTTGTTAACTTGATCATCATCGTCGTCATCATCAGCTCTGTCTTTGTCGTCATCATCATTATGATCGCCATTGGTAACTTGATCATCATCGTCGTCATCATCGGCTCTGTCTTTGTCGTCATCATCATTACGATCGCCATTGGTAACTTGATTATCATCAACAGCACAGCCTCCCTCCTGGCCCCCACCCCCTCTCCCCCCTGCCCCTCCCCCCTGCCCCCCACCCCTCTCCCCCGCCCCCCACCCCTCTCCCCCGCCCCCCCACCGTCGCCGCTACCCTGGGACTCGTGGACGATGACGCTGAAGAACTTGATCTCCCCGTTGGCGTCGCTGAACCAGTCGCAGCTGATGTTGAAGCGGATCCCCTTGCGGAACGCCACGCTGCTCCTGTCGGCGGGGGCCGCCTCGCGCGCCGGCTCGGGGGGCCCTGCACACCGGTGGGGGGAGGGGGGGGGGACAGCGGTGGGAGGGAGGGGGGTGATAGTGATAGCGGGGGACAGCCGCGGGGGGGGGGGGGTGCTCAGCAGGTTCCCGATGTGTCAGTAACCGTTGTAACTAATACAGGGTGCATCTTCTTTGGTTCTTTCGGTAAAGTCACCACGTAGAATGAGAATAAAATAATAAATTGATAAAATAAAATAACATAATAAAATTCTCACGACGTTTCGGCCACAACACAAGCGGCCTTCATCAGGGACGAGACTGTCTGGAGGACAGCGCTGGAGCTGTCCTCCAGACAGTCTCGTCCCTTCACCTGATGAAGGCCGCTTGTGTTGTGGCCGAAACGTCGTGAGAATTTTATTGTGTTATTTTATTTTATCAATTTATTATTTTATTCTCATTCTACGTGGTGACTTTACCGAAAGAACCAAAGAAGATGAATCCTTGCAGTCACGAAAGCTTTAAATCGAAATTTAACACAGGGTGCTCGAGAAGTGTTTTAACACTTCTGAGAATTTGCAACAAACACCGCAAGAAATTTGCTGCTGCCTCCGGCCTCTGGAGAGCACCTGGAGAAGATTCCAGGCGTGTCTTGAGAATGATGGCCAAGGATGGTCCCATGTCAGTGTTCATATTTTTTTTTTAAGTACACTGTGTATCACCGCTTTTATTCAACTTGACTTGACTCCTGTGTCGTGGTCAAATCTTGTGATCGAGATTTAGTCGACTTCCCGTTGTCCAATCGACGACCAAATTTTGCACACGTACTCAGATCCGGCGACAATGCATGTCTGTATCAAAATCGGCATCGATTCATCAATTAACTGCCTCCTTTCAAGCAATATTCGTTTTTTTCATGGACGGCATATTAATTATCTATTTTTTGCTCGCGCAAAAAGCAGGCGCCGCGTGTCTCTTTTTTCAAGATGTCATCCAATTGCCGTTGTCCAATCGAGTTATTTACTTTTTAGTGCACTTTAAAATAAAACCGTTGTTTTAAAAAAAAAACTTTTTTGAAGGAGTTTATTTTACCCGGTACGTTGGAGGCAAAGCACCTTTTGGTGGACGCTTGCTGACGCCGCTTGCCGTAAAAGTCCACCTCGGGCGACAGACGAGATTTTTGTCGCTCTCGTGCGCGGTTTGGTCATTTCGAAGGTCTCAAAGTCCACCTTTGTTTCCAGATACTGGGATGTTACTGACTATAACGAACCATTTGTATGTTACCAGGTAAGGCCCACTGAGCTATGTAGTTATTTTTTGCAGAAGCGACCTGGCCACACAAATGATAGCCCAATCAAGTGGCTTATCACGTGGAAATGTATTCGAAAAACTAAACCGAACCATTTTTTATTTTCACCAGGTAAGGGCCACTCAGCTATTATATAGCTCTTTTTGCAGAAGCGGCCTGGCCATCGCAACTGATAGCTCAACGAAGTAGCTTATTGTCATCACGTGGGAAATTATTTAGCCAAATACTCTTAAACGTGCGACGTTGCTTTGAAATGTCGAAGGGGAAAATTCTGGAGGACCCAGGGAAAAATCCACGAGAACACGGTCAGAGAGACGCAAGCTCAAGGTCGGGGTTGAACCCACGACCTCCTGTACACCAAGCGAGGTAGTTAACATCTCCTAGCCACCGTCATGATGAGAGATGCACACCCACGACTCCCTGCATACCAGGCGAGGTAGTTCAACATCTCCTAGCCACCGTCATGATGAGCGATGCACACCCACGACTTCCTGCATACCAGGCGAGGCAGTTAACATCTCCTAGCCACCGTGGCGAAAACAAGGCGCGTTGCGCCAATGTCGGACCAACGCTGGGCCACTGCAGGGCCAACGTCCATGCCGATGTTGGCCTCGGGCGTAGCGCGTTTGACTGGGTTCGGATTCAAGGCGCGACAACGGGAAACCGCGGCGACGCCGGCGCTCACGATCGATCATGGTGACGATGGCCTGGACGGCGGCGGCGCTGTGCCGCTCCCCGGATACGGCCATCAGCGTCACGGTGTAGTTGTTGTGCGGCTCCAGGTTGGCGAGGACGTGGGAAAAAACCGCGGCGGCCCCGGCGGGCAGCAGCGCCGAGACGCGGCGACCACGGCCGCCGGAGGACGGGTCGCAGGCGACGAGGAACGCGTCCACGTCGGAGCCCGCCGGCGCCGACCACGAGCACGAGAGTGCCGTCGAGTTCTCCGGGCGGCAGTGGAAGGCGGCGGGACGCAGCGGGACTGGAAGGGTGGGCGCACGGACGGACAGATGGACAGACGGGCGGCGGCTACGTATGAAGTGGCTTGTCGTCATCGCGTGGAAATTTACAGCGGTCAAACACTCACTGTCTATTGACGCTCTTGTCGCAAAGCGTTACTTTTTTTTTATCAACCCCGGAGGGATGATGGGCTCGGTCAACTCCTTAACAGGCTCGCTGATGATGTAGATGACGACGACGATGCTGTATGACTAAAAATATGTAAAAACGATTTTATTTTCACCAGGTCAGCCGCGGCCTTGCCACGAGAGATAGCCTTTTCATCGCGTGGAAATTCATAGCGGCCAAATACTCTAAACGTGTGACGTTGATTCCAAATGTGGAGGGAAACACCGGAGGAGCTGGATAAAAATCCACGCGACCACGGGGAGACACGCAAACTCCAAATATACAGCAGGCGTAAGAAGCGGGATGAAATCCACGATCGCCCGTACACCAGGCGAGGTAGTTAACATCTCATAGCCACCATGATGATGATGAGAGAGATGCAAACTCCAAATATACAGCAGGCGTCAGGGTTGGGATGGAATCCATGCCCTCCTGTACACCAGGCGAGGTAATTAACATCTCATAGCCACCGTGATGATGATGAGAGACACAAACTCCAAATATAAAGCAGCAGGTGTCAGGGTCGGGATGGAATCCACGCCCTCCTGTACACCAGGCGAGGCAGTCAACATCTCCGAGCCATCGTGGCGCCAAAGCAGCGGCGGCGGCGGCGGCGGCGTGCACACAGAGACGCCCGACCGGCAGCCCCGGTCACCATCGGGGAGCTCGTCGGCACGGCCGGCCTCACCGGTTCGCACGAACCCGTGGCAGGCCTCGCTGATCGTGGGCAGCACCCCGCCGCTCAGCGCCCGCACGGCCACCGCGTAGCCGCGGCCCGGCACCAGCCCCGCCAGCCAGCGGCGAGCGTCGAGCGGCGCGCCGCCGGCGCCCGGCGGCCGCGGCCGCACGCGCAGGCCGGGGTGGCTCGGCCGCACGACCACGGAGAGGTCGGCGACGCCGGCGACCCACGGGTAGTCGACGACGAGCTCGGCCGCCGTGGTGCTCACGTTGCGGAAGGAGAGGCGCAACGGGGCCCGGGGCACTGAGACGGGGAGACGACACGGGGGGGGGGGGGGGGGTGGGGGAGGGGGTGGGGAGGGGGTGGGGTGGGGGGAGACGACACGGGGGGAGGGGGTGGGGTTGGGGCAGACGACACGGGGGGGGGGGGGAGGGGGTGGGGTGGGGGGAGACGACACGGGGGGGGGAGGGGGTGGGGGGAGACAACACAGGGGGGGGTGGGGGGAGATGACATGGGAGGAGGGGGGGACGGTGGGGGATGGGGGGGTGACGATGGGGGAGGGAGGGAGAGATGACGACACAGGGGGAGGGGGGGAGATAACGGGGGGGGGGGGGGGGGGGGAGGGGGGGATGTGAGTGCATGACCCGAGCATGGTAGCAGGGTTAACCCCTTCCCCATGAACCCCGTTCAATATCTTTGTTCGTTCAATACGAAAACAACAAAAAAAACCGTCCGGAGCAGCAGGACTCCCTGCTGCCCCGAGCACGCACGGCGAGCACGCACGGCGAGCCGCAGGAACCCACGTGTGCGCGCCTGCACGCTCGTCTCGCTCATCAGCTCGGCGCTGTACGTGGTGACGCTGAGCGTGTAGAGCCGCCCCGGAGCCAGCCCCCCGAAGTCCCAGCCCCCCACGGCGGGGGCGCCCAGCTTGCTCTCGAGCAGCGCCTTGTCGTCGGCGCTGTGCAGCCGGATCTCGTAAAAGTCGTGGTCGCCCGACGCGGCCGTCCACGCGAAGCGCAGCGAGTCCGTGCTGTTGGCGTCGGTCGAGCGCAGCCCGGTCACCGTCGCCGGCACTGGCGGTGGGGGGGGGGGGGGCACGCGTCAGCGTCCGGTCAGCGCGGTTGGCGACGCGCAGAGACCCCGTAGACTCGCACAGAGACCCCGTAGACTCACACAGAGACCCCGTAGACTCACACAGAGACCCCGTAGACTCGCACAGAGACCCCGTAGACTCACACAGAGACCCCGTAGACTCACACAGAGACCCCGTAGACTCGCACAGAGACCTCGTAGACTCACACAGAGACCTCGTAGACTCACACAGAGACCCCGTAGACTCGCACAGAGACCCCGTAGACTCGCACAGAGACCCCGTAGACTCGCGCAGAGACCCGTAGACTCGCACAGAGACCCCGTAGACTCGCACAGAGACCCCGTAGACTCACACAGAGACCCCGTAGACTCGCACAGAGACCCCGTAGACTCACACAGAGACCCCGTAGACTCATACAGAGACCCCGTAGACTCACACAGAGACCCCGTAGACTCACACAGAGACCCCGTAGACTCGCACAGAGACCCGTAGACTCACACAGAGACCCCGTAGACTCACACAGAGACCCCATAGACTCACACAGAGACTCCGTAGACTCACACAGAGACTCCGTAGACTCGCACAGAGACCCGTAGACTCACACAGAGACCCCGTAGACTCACACAGAGACCCCATAGACTCACACAGAGACCCCGTAGACTCACACAGAGACCCGTAGACTCACACAGAGACCCGTAGACTCACACAGAGACCCCGTAGACTCACACAGAGACCCGTAGACTCGCACAGAGACCCATATGCTCACACAGAGACCCACAGACTCATACAGAGACCAATAGACTCATACAGAGACCCGTAGACTCGCACAGAGACCCGTAGACTCATACAGAGACCCCGTAGACTCGCACAGAGACTCATAGACTCATACAGAGACCCCGTAGACTCATACAGAGACCCCGTAGACTCGCACAGAGACCCGTAGACTCATACAGATACCCCGTAGACTCGCACAGAGACCCATAGACTCATACAGAGACCCATAGACTCACACAGAGACCCATAGACTCACACAGAGACCCGTAGACTCGCACAGAGACCCATAGACTCGCACAGAGACCCATAGACTCGCACAGAGACCCGTAGACTCGCACAGAGACCCCGTAGACTCGCACAGAGACCCTGTAGACTCGCACAGAGACCCGTAGACTCACACGGAGACACATAGACTCGCACAGAGACCCCGTAGACTCACATAGAGACCCATAGACTCGCACAGAGGCCCCGTAGACTCGCACAGAGACCCGTAGACTCGTGCAGAGACCCCGTAGACTCGCACAGAGACCCATAGACTCGCACAGAGACCCCGTAGACTCGCACAGAGACCCCGTAGACTCGCACAGAGACCCCGTAGACTCGTGCAGAGACCCCATAGACTCACACAGAGACCCGTAGACTCACACAGAAACCCATAGACTCATACAGTGACCCACAGACTCACACAGATACCCGTAGGCTTACACAGAGACCCGTAGACTCGCACAGAGACCCATACACTCACAGAGAGACCCATAGATTCACACAGTGACCGACAGACTCGCACAGAGACCCATAGACTCACACAGAGACCCATAGACTCACACAGAGACCCGTAGACTCACACAGAGACAAATAGACTCACACAGAGACCCATAGACTCACACAGAGACCCATAGACTCACACAGAGACCCATAGACTCACACAGAGACCCGTAGACTCACACAGAGACCCGTTAACCGAGAACACCGGGCTCTGTTCACCCACTTTGGGGCCCCCGCCCCCACACCGCGTCGACTCACGCGTTCGCGCCTGTGCCGTGGCGGCCGAGCTGAAGAGGCCGCCGCTGACGGTGAAGACACGCACGCGGTAGAGTCGCCCCGGCGTGAGGTCGCCGTAGGCGTGCCGGGCCCGCGCCGCCGGCACCAGCTGGCTGCTGATGAGGCTGTCGTTGGGACTCAGCAGCTGCACCATGTAGTGCTCGGCGGCGCCGGGACATGGGTGCCACCGCACCGACAGCTGTGCCGGGCGGCCGTCGTTGTCCGCGAACACCGACGGCACGCTCGCCGGCACTGCGGTTAGGGGGCGGCGGGGGGGTGGGGGGGGGTTGAGGGGGGTTGGTTTATAGGGTTAGGGTGAGGGTTCAGGGGATAGCCTAAGGGGGGTAGTGTCGGGGCTGGGCTACGGTGTGTGGGGGTGAGTCTATAGGGGATTTAGTGTGGGGGTGAGTCTATAGGGGATTTAGTGTGGGGGTGAGTCTATAGTTGATTTAGTGTGGGGGCTAGACTATAGGGGATTTAGTGTGGGGGTGAGTCTATAGTTGATTTAGTGTGGGGGCGAGTCTATAGGGGATAGTGTGGGGGTGAGTCTATAGGGGATAGTGTGGGGGCTAGTCTATAGGGGATAGTGTGGGGTGAGTCTATAGGTGATAGTGTGGGGATCAGTCTATAGGGGAAAGTGTGGGGGTGAGTCTATAGGGGATAGTGTGGGGGCGAGTCTATAGGGGATAGTGTGGGAGTTGAGTGTATAGGGGATAATATGGGGGCGAGTCTTTAGGAAATAGTGTGGGGGGTGAATCTATAGGGGATAGTGTGGGGGTAAGTCTATAGGGGATAGTTGTGGGGGTGAGTCTATAGGAGATAGTGTGGGGGTGAGTTTATAGGGGATAGTGTGGGGGTGAGTCTATAGGGGATAGTGTGGGGGTGAGTCTATAGGGGATAGTGTGGGGGTGAGTATATAGGGGATAGTGTGGGGGTGAGTCTATAGGGGATAGTGTGGGGGTGAGTATATAGGGGATAGTGTGGGGGTGAGTATATAGGGGATAGTGTGGGGGCTAGTCTATAGGGGATAGTGTGGGGGCGAGTCTATAGGGGATAGTGTGGGGGTGAGTATATAGGGGATAGTATGGGGGTGAGTCTATAGGAGATAGTGTGGGGGCGAGTCTATAGGGGATAGTGTGGGGGTGAGTCTATAGGGGATAGTGTGGTGGGTGAGTCTATAGGGGGTATTATGGGGGCAAGTCTATAGGTGGACAGTGTGGGGGTGAGTCTATAGGGGATAGTGTGGGGGCGAGTCTATAGGGGATAGTGTGGGGGCGAGTCTGTAGGAGTTAATGTGGGGGCGAGTCTATAGGGGATAGTATGGGGGCTAGTCTATAGGGGATAGTGTGGGGGCGAGTCTATAGGAGATAGTGTGGAGGCTCGTCTATCGGGGATAGTGTGGGGGTGAGTCTATAGGGGATAGTGTGAGGGCTAGTCTATAGGGGATAGTGTGAGGGCTAGTCTATAGGGGATAGTGTGAGGGCTAGTCTATAGGAGATAGTGTGAGGGCAAGTCTATAGGGGATAGTGTGGGGGTGAGTCTATAGGGGATAGTGTGGGGGCTAGTCCATAGGGAATAGTGTGGGGGTTGAGTCTATAGGTGATAGTATGGGGGGGTGAGTCTATAGGGGATAGTATGGGGGCGAGTCTATAGGGGATAGTGTGGGGGTGAGTCTATAGGGGATAGCGTGGGGGCTAGTCTATAGGGAATAGTGTGGGGGTTGAGTCTATAGGTGATAGTGTGGGGGGGTGAGTCTATAGGGGATAGTATGGGGGTGAGTCTATAGGGGATAGTATGGGGGCGAGTCTACAGGGGATAGTATGGGGGCGAGTCTATAGGGGATAGTATGGGGGCGAGTCTACAGGGGATAGTATGGGGGCGAGTCTACAGGGGATAGTATGGGGGCGAGTCTATAGGGGATGGGGGAGCGAGCGAGGAGGATCGAGAGGCCCTCCTACCGGTCCTGCCTTCAGCTGAGACGGCGGTGCTGCTCACTCCGCCGCTGGTGGCGGTGACAGCGACGCGGTACGGCGAGCCCGGCACGAGGCCCGGGAAGGAGAACTCGGCGTCGCCCGGCTCGGCCGTCGCGTTCGCCACCAGCGAGCCATTGCCGTCGGTGAGGCGCAGCAGGTAGGCGTCCACCTGCGCCCAGTCGTCGCCATCGACATCCTCGTCATCGACGTCGTCGTCATTATCATTGTCGTCGTCGTCGTCGTCATCATCGTCGTCATCATTGTCATCATTATCATGATCGTTGTCGTCGTCGTCGTCATCGTCGTCGTCATCAGCGAGCCTATTTTGGAGTTGACTCAGCCCACCATCTCTCCGCGGTCGATAAAATAAGTAACGCTTTGTGACGTGAGATTCACTAAAAGTGACCGTGAGTGAAACAGCCTAGGATCTCAGCGTCCCCGGTTCCAATTCCACACTTGAACATGAGTGGCACGTTGTGTCTGGCTGAGTGAGTTGGTTGGTGAGTCAGTTGATGAGTGGGTGGTGGGTGGGTGAGTGAGTGAATGAGCGAGCAAGCGAGTGAGTGAATGTATGAGTGGGTAATTGGATGAGTGAGCGAGTGGGTGGGTGAGTCGGTTTATGAGTGAGTGGATGAATGAGTGAATGAGCGAGCGAGCGGATGAGTGACTGGGTGAATGAGTGAGTGAGTGGATGAATGAGTGAATGAGCGAGCGGGTGAGTGAGTGAGTAAGTGAGTGAATGAGTGAGTGAGTGGATGAATGAGTGAACAAGCGAGCGAGCGGGTGAGTGAGTGAGTGAGTAAGTGAGTGAATGAGTGAGTGGATGAATGAGTGAATGAGCGAGTGGGTGAGTGAGTGAGTAAGTGAGTAAATGAGTGAGTGGATGAATGAGTGAATGAGCAAGCGAGCGAGTGAGTGAGTAAATGAGTGAGTGGATGAATGAGTGAATGAGCGAGCGAGCGGGTGATTGAGTGAGTGAGTGAGTGGATGAATGAGTGAATGAGCAAGCGAGCGGGTGAGTGAGTGAGTAAGTGAGTGAATGAGTGAGTGAGTGGATGAATGAGTGAATGAGCGAGCGAGCGGGTGAGTGAGTGAATGAGTAAGTGAGTGAATGAGTGAGTGAGTGGATGAATGAATGAGCGAGCGGGTGAGTGAGTGAGTAAGTGAGTAAATGAGTGAGTGAGTGAGTGGATGAATGAGTGAATGAGCGAGCAAGCGGGTGAGTGAGTGGTAAAGTGGATGAGTGAGCGAGTGGGTGAGTGAGTGAGTGAGTGGTGAAGTAGATGAGTGAGCGAGTGGGTGAGTGAGTGAGTGAGTGGTAAAGTGGATGAGTGAGCGAGCGGGTGAGTGAGTGAGTGAGTGGTAAAGTGGATGAGTGAGCGAGTGGGTGGGTGGGTGGGTGAGTGAGTGAGTGGTAAAGTGGATGAGTGAGCGAGCGGGTGAGTGAGTGAGTGGTAAAGTGGATGAGTGAGCGAGTGGGTGAGTGAGTGAGTGAGTGGTAAAGTGGATGAGTGAGCGAGTGAGTGGTAAAGTGGATGAGTGAGCGAGTGGGTGGGTGAGTAGACGAGCGAGTCGGTGAGCGATCGACTGAGCCCTCAGTGGCGCATCTGACTGCGGCCGATGATGACGACTCGGACTGACACGACGACGTGACGGCACAATTGTGAGACAACTTGAGGCCGTGGTGGGTGTGAAGAGGACTAGGACAAGGTGGAGGATGACGAGGAGGGGGGAGGAGGAGGGTCTGGGCGCCACCTTGCCGGGCGACGGGCGCCAGCGAGCCATGAGAAGGTCGGTCGAGTAGCGGTTGTCCACCACCAGGTTGCTCACCGTGCCTGGCACTGAGACGCGGAGACACCGGGTGGGATGCGCAGGGAGACACGGGGACCACAGAGACACGGGGAGACATGGGAAGACACGGGGAGACACGGGGGATCACAGAGACACGGGGAGACACGGGGGACCACAGAGACACGGGGAGACACGGGGGATCACAGAGACACGGGGAGACACGGGGGATCACAGAGACACGGGGACCACAGAGACACGGGGGACCACAGAGACACAGGGAGACACGGGGAGACACAGAGACACGGGGAGACACGGGGAGACACGGGGGACCACAGAGACACGGGGAGACACGGGGAGACACGGGGAGACACGGGGGATCACAGAGACATGGGGGACCACAGAGACACGGGGGACCACAGAGACACAGGGAGACACAGAGACACGGGGAGACACAGAGACACGGGGAGACACGGGGAGACACGGGGGACCACAGAGACACGTGGACAAGGGGATCACAGAGACACGTGGACAAGGGGATCACGGAGACACGGGGAGACACGGGGGACCACAGAGACACAGGGGACCACAGAGACACGTGGACAAGGGGATCACAGAGACACACAGAGACACGGGGAGACACAGGGAACCACAGAGACACGGGGGACCACAGAGATACGGAGAGACACAGGGAGACACGGGGAGACACGGGGAGACACGGGGGATCACAGAGACACGGGGGACCACAGAGACACACAGAGACACGGGGAGACACGGGGACAGGGAACGCCCAGAGAAACATCAGCAACGGACGGGCGTGTGATGACGTTGGCCAACCGTGATGCGCAGCAGCTTCTGCTACTGAAGCTGGAAGTCTGTCGACCCAGTGGCCTCCATTAAGGGGGTGGAAGGGAGAAGCTAGACGCGGAAGAGAGGCAGAGAGAGAGACGTCCTGAGCAGTTCCGACAGATGCCCTCGGTGCAATGGGGAGTCTTGGAGATGCTGGATATCCTATAGGTTATATAGATATACAGAACGTATATACTCTTTGGTTCTTTCGGTAAAGTCACGCAGGTATAAAAATTCAGCAGTTCCACTGCTGGATTATATTTTTTTCCGCCTGAGGACGACCGCTTGTGTTGCGATCGAAACGTCGTGATATATTTTATTTTTCAACCTACATGACTTTACCGGAAAGAAACACAAAGAGTATGGATTCCTGCAGTCATGAAAGCTTCAAATCAAGATAACGTACATGTTCTGTAGATCTACGGAACCTACAGATTTTAGGATATAGTGGAGATCAAAGAGATCCTGCAGATCCTGAATGTCCTGGCTACCATAGAGGCCTTGGAGAATCTTACAGATCTTAGAAGTCCTGCAGGAGACGCAGTTGACCCTAAATACGCTTGGCTTTCCCAGAAGCCCGAGATAATCCTGTAGAACCTAGAGATACAGATGATCGCCAGATAATCATGTAGAACCCAGAGATCCAAATGATCCCCAGATAATCCTGTAGACCCCAGAGATCCAGATGATCCCCAGATAATCCTGTAGGACCGAGATATCCATAAGATCCAGGGATGAGGCCTGTATATTTGGAGTTTGCGGTGTGTCTCTCTCCCCGTGGTCGCGTGAATTTTCCTCCATGTCTTCCGGTTTTTCCCACCACATTTAGAATTGATGTCACACGTTTAGAGTATTTGGCTGCTACGAATTTCCACGCGATGAAAAAGGCCACTCCATTGAGGCTATCTCTCGTGGCCAGGTCGCGTCTGAAAAAGAAGCTAGTAGTTCAATGTGCCTTACCTGGTAAAATTAAAATCGTGTTCAGTTCTTTTTTTTGGTCATACACATCATCGTGGCAGGTACATGTCCGTCATCAACATTGACGTCGAGTGTGAAGAGTAATTGGCTGCTCTACTTTTCCACGTGATGAAGATAAGCCCCTTAGTCGAGCTATCATTTGTGGCCAGGTCACTTCTGATAAAAGAGCCACAGAGACCAGTGGGCCTTACCTGGTGAAATCAAAATTAAGTTTAGTTTAAGTTTTGGATGTCCTGGCAGCCATAGAAGCCTTAGAGAATCCTGGAGATCTTATGAAGTCCTAGAGGAGATATAGTTGACTTTGAATATCCTCGGCTGTCCTAGAAGCCCTAGATAATCCTGTAGAACCTATAGATCCAGGAAATCTTCCTCCACCTCCTTCTCTCTCCTTCTCTCCCTCCTCTTCGATCTTCTCCTCTCCCTCCGCCTCCTCCTCCTCAACCTCCTCCTCTCTCCTTCTCTCCTGCTCTCCCTCCTCCACCTCCTCCCCTCCCTCTTCCTCCTCCTCATCCTCCTCCACCTCCTTCTGCTGCTGCTGTGTTTAGTTTGTTGTCCTTCCCCCGCACCTCCGATTGGCCAGGGTTGGCTACGCACGGTGCAAAAGAAGTTCAACGTACATACACACAGACAGAAGACGGTGCAGGGGGACCGGCGGCTCACCGGTTCTGCCGGTGATGACCTCGGGCTCCCCGCTGAGCGCGCCGCTCACGGCGGCGACGGCGACGCGGTACTCGTGGCCCGGCGCCAGCCGCCCCACGGTGGCATTGGTGGCGCTGGGCGGCAGCGTGAGGTTGCGCTTGGTCCCGGCGGCTCCGACCCCACCCCCGCCACCGCTGCCACCGAGCGGAGGCCACAGCGACACCAAGTAGGAGGTGACGTCGCCCGGCGCCGGGGACCACGTGACGGAGAGCGAGCGCGAGTCCAGCCCGACGGCCGCCAGCGCCCGCACGGAGCCCGGAGCTGAGCGCGGCGCGGAGACGTGGGCGACGTGTAGATGTGGGAAATGTGGAGACGTGGGCGACGTGGAGATGTGGGCGACATGGAGATGTGGGCGACGTGGAGAGGTGGGCGACGTGGAGACGTGGGCGACGTGTAGATGTGGGTGACGTGGAGATGCGGGCGACGTGGAGACGTGGGCGACGTGTAGATGTGGGTGACGTGGAGATGTGGGAAATGTGGAGATGCGGGCGACGTGGAGACGTGGGCGACGTGGAGATGCGGGCGACGTGGAGACGTGGGAAATGTGGTGAGGTGGGCGACGTGTAGATGCGGGCGACGTGGAGATGCGGGCGACGTGGAGACGTGGGCGACGTCGAGACGTGGGCGACGTCGAGACGTGGGCGACGCGGAGATGCGGGCGACGCGAGGGACCGAGGGAGGTGGAGAAATGGGGGGAACGCGAGGAAGTGGGTGATTTGCAGGACATTTCTCAGCTTTGGGATGTTTTGGCTGATACTAGTCACATTGTATGGGGGGGGGTGGGGGGTAGCGAGGGGAGGAGGGGAAGGGCTAGTCAAGGGAGGAGGAAACCCAAGCAGACCAGGAGGAGAACGTGCAAAACTCCACACAAACTCACAAAAACAAAGATCTCCCGTATAGGCCTGAACAGACTGTCTCCCCGGTGGCGATGTTTACACTTCGCAGCAGGTACTCATTGGAGGCCGGGTCGACCTAGGGGAGGCCAAGGGACCGGTTCAGATAACCGTCACCGTTGTTGGCCGTGAGCGGGAATCGAACCGGGTTCGTGGCGCAGCGTGCGCCCGCACACGCACAAAGCTCCACACATTGGGGAACCCGAGTCGGGAACGCAACCGGGGCGCGTCAACCCCCACCCCCACCCCACCGCCACCGACCCCGGCCGTCGCCGTCGGCCGCGAGCGTCACCGTCGCGCCGTACCCGTCTGCGCCGCGATGCTCGCGGTGCGCCGCTCCTGGCCGCTCCACGTGGTGACGCTCGCGTTGTAGACGCGCCCCGGCGCCAGCTCGCGCGCCACGTAGCCGTCCGACGAGCTGGGCAGGCTCGCCGGGTCGACGCCGCCGGGCGACACCGACGCCACCAGCCGCACCTCCACCCGATCGGCGTCGCCCACCGGAGGGTCCCAGCGCAGCAGCAGGCGGTCGGTGGAGCGCTCCTCGACGCGCAGGCGCGACACCGCAGCCGGCTCTGCCGGACGGGGGGAGGGGGGGGGGACGGAGGCAGCGTCGTGATAAGTCACCAGGAGCAAAACCGGCAGCAGCACCGGCATCAGAAGCACCAGTTTGGTGTCCTTTCCCCCGCACCTCCGATAAGCACGGTTGGCTACGTACGATGGTGCGAAAAAAGTTTAACATGCGCACCGGCAGCAGCGCCAGCAGCAGCACGATCAGCAGCATCACGATCAGCAGCATCGCCAGCAGCAACACAATCAGCAGCATCACGATCAGCATCACGAGCACCTTTAGCATCGCTTGTAGCGTTACCATCAGCAGCACAAGCAGCAGCAGGAGCAGCAGAAGTGCTTAGCGGCAGGAACATCAGCATCGTCAGCATCAGAAACATGAGCATCATCTTCAGCAGACGACATCATCGTCGTCATCATCGTTGTCATCATCGCCTTAATGTCGACAACAATTAAAGCAGCGTGTTTGACAAAGTGAAAGATCCCCCGTGTAGCCTTAACAGACTGTTGGGGCAAGTGCTGTGAGCGAGCAGCACCTATGAAGGCCGGCACGGCACACGAGGGGGTGGGTGGCCAGCAGCACGTCCCGGCAGCCTTTGTATCCCCAGCGGCGATGTTCACACACCGCACCAGGTACTCCATTTGAGGCTGAGTCGACCTAGGCGAGGCCCAGGACCGGTTCAGATAATCGTCACCGGTGTCGGCTTTGAGCGGTCAATCGAACTCGAGACAACAACAACAACAACAACCGCCACTCGCCACTAAACGGCCGTGACGTCACCACGGCGCTTGTGCCAGGCTAGGCGCACGTCGAGGCCACGCGAAGCGTCGAACGCCCGCTGGCAGGAGGTCACGTGGCAGACCCCCAGCAGGCGCCACGGGGTCGACCGACTGAGGTGACCGGCGACTCGCTGCGTTTTAGCTGCCCCGTCGTTGTGAGCACCCACGCCTCCCCCCCCCCCCCCCTCCCCTGGACTCACGCGTCTTGCCGTAGGCCACGGCGGGCGAGTCGTAGGGGCCGCTGCGGGTGACCACGGTGAGCGCGTAGCGGCGGCCCGGCGTCAGCCGCCGGAAGGTGCACCCGGTGCCGTCGCGGGCCACCGTCTCGCTGCGCACCGCCTCGCCCTCGTGCCGCAGCGCCACCAAGAAGTCGTCGTAGTCCCCGGCGGGACGCACCCACGACGCCACCAGGCCGGCGCCGGCGCCGGCCTCGTTCTGGTTGCGCACCGCCAGGTTGCGCACCTCCGCCGGCACTGGTGGTGGTGGTGGTGGTGGACACCGCGGGCGGTGGTTTGGTTAAACAAAAAAAGTCAGGACGGCATCTGCCGGTGTTTGCGATGATAACGGCGATGGGTCGTGACGCCGCACCACCGCCGTCGCCGCACGGTGCACGCTACCTCGTGACGCAGAGAGAGGGAGAGAGAGGACGACTCAGAGAGAGAGAGGATGACTCAGAGAGAGAGGGGACGACTCAGAGAGAGAGGTGGGACGACTCAGAGAGAGAGAGAGAGAGAGGATGACTCGGAGAAAGAGGGGACGACTCAGAGAGAGAGAGAGAGGACGACTCAGAGAGAGAGAGAGAGAGGACGACTCAGAGAGAGAGAGAGGATGACTCGGAGAGAGAGGGGACGACTCAGAGAGAGAGAGGACGACTTAGAGAGAGAGAGAGGAGGTGGGACGACTCAGAGAGAGAGAGAGGACGACTCAGAGAGAGAGAGAGGACGACTCAGAGAGAAAGAGAGAGGACGACTCAGAGAGAGAGAGGGGACGACTCAGAGAGAGAGAGGTGGGACGACTCAGAGAGAGAGAGAGGATGACTCGGAGAGAGAGGGGACGACTCAGAGAGAGAGAGGACGACTTAGAGAGAGAGAGGACGACTCAGAGAGAGAGGGGGGACGACTCAGAGAAAGAGAGAGGACGACTCAGGGAGAGAGGGGGGATGACTCAGAGAGAGAGAATGACTCAGAGAGAGAGAGAGGACGACTCAGAGAGAGAGAGGACGACTCAGAGAGAGAGAACGACTCGGAGAGAGAGGAGACGACTCAGATAGAGAGAGGCCGACGCAGACAGAGAGGATGACTCAGACAGAGAGGACGACTCAGGGAGCGAGAGAGAGAGAGAGAAAGGACGACTCAAGAGGGGCCGGGAGGAGGAACCACAAGAGGACAAAAAAAGACCGCTTGTGTTGTGATCGAAACGTCGTAGTTGTTTTTGTTTGTTAATTTCGTTCAACCTATCTACTTGACTTTACCGAAGCTCGAGTGAGGCGCAAGGCCGCTCGCCCGACTGCGCGGCATTCATCGGCACAAGTGGCTCGCTCAAGCGATGGTTTGTAGGGGAGCACTTCCCCCGAAGGCACGGTCTCCCCGTGAGTCGGGGGCCTTCCGCAACCCGGGGAACCGCCCTGTAAACTCAGTCAACGGATGAAGCAGCAGCAGCAGCTGGTGCCAGCATGAGCGCTAGCTGTTGGGGGGGGGGGGGGGTGAAGGTGGTGGTGGAGGGGGGGGAGGTGTGAAGGTGGTGGTGGTGGTGGTGGAGGTGTGTGTGTGTGTGTGAAGGTGGTGGTGGTGGTGGAGGTGGTGGTGTGTGTGTGAAGGTGGTGGTGGTGGAGGTGGTGGTGTGTGTGTGAAGGTGGTGGAGGAGGAGGAGGAGGGGGGGTGAAGGTGGTGGTGGTGGTGTGTGTGTGAAGGTGGTGGTGTGTGTGTGTGTGAAGGTGGTGGTGGTGGAGGTGGTGGTGTGTGTGTGAAGGTGGTGGAGGAGGAGGAGGAGGGGGGGTGAAGGTGGTGGTGGTGGAGGAGGTGGGGGGGGGTGTGAAGGTGGTGGTGGTGGAGGTGGAGGAGGAGGAGGTGCGGGTGTGTGAAGGTGGTGGTGGTGGTGGAGGTGGTGGTGTGTGAAGGTGGTGGTGGAGGAGGAGGAGGGGGTGTGTGAAGGTGGTGGTGGTGGTGTGTGAAGGTGGTGGTGGAGGAGGTGCGGGTGTGTGAAGGTGGTGGTGGAGGAGGAGGAGGGGGTGTGTGAAGGTGGTGGTGGTGGTGGTGGAGGTGGTGGTGTGTGAAGGTGGTGGTGGAGGAGGAGGAGGGGGTGTGTGAAGGTGGTGGTGGTGGTGTGTGAAGGTGGTGGTGTGTGAAGGTGGTGGTGGAGGAGGAGGAGGTGCGGGTGTGTGAAGGTGGTGGTGGAGGAGGAGGAGGGGGTGTGTGAAGGTGGTGGTGTGTGAAGGTGGTGGTGTGTGAAGGTGGTGGTGGAGGAGGAGGAGGTGCGGGTGTGTGAAGGTGGTGGTGGAGGAGGAGGAGGGGGTGTGTGAAGGTGGTGGTGGTGGTGGTGTGTGAAGGTGGTGGTGTGTGAAGGTGGTGGTGGAGGAGGAGGAGGTGCGGGTGTGTGAAGGTGGTGGTGGAGGAGGAGGAGGGGGTGTGTGAAGGTGGTGGTGGTGGTGGAGGTGGTGGTGTGTGAAGGTGGTGGTGGAGGAGGAGGAGGAGGGGGTGTGTGAAGGTGGTGGTGGTGGAGGAGGAGGAGGTGTGTGAAGGTGGTGGTGGTGGTGGAGGAGGAGGTGGGTGTGTGCGCGCATCTCACTGGTGCGCTCCTCCGTGACGACGTCGCTGTGTGCGTCGCCGGCCCAGGTCTCAATGGTCACCGAGTAGGCGCTGCCCGGTGTCAGCTGCCGCAGCTCGATCTCCGTCGTGTCGTTGGCGAGCTGAGCGGCGCCGCCGCGGCTCGCGCCGTCTGTGGCAGGGGGTCGGCGAGGCGGTGACCCCCAAAGAGCAACAAGGGGAAAGATCCACACCCCCCGTGTAGCCTTAACAGGGCTATACCGAATAAATGAAACTGGAAAACTTGGAACAGAGCGTTGGGGCAAGTGCTGTCAGCGAGTAGCAGCAACGTGTGAAGGCCGGCACGGTGGCACACGAGAGGGGTGGGGGGGGGGGGGAGGCTAGGAGCCAGCAACCACGGCCTGGCCGCCTTTGTATCCCTAGTGACGATGTCTTACACACCAAACCAGGTACACAAAGACAAAGATCACCCGTAAAGCCTTAACAGAATGTGTTGGGGCAAGTGCTGATAGCGGGCAGCAGCAACCTGTGAAGGCCAAGAGGGCACACACGAGGGGTGTGGGTTGGACAGCACCCACGCCCGGCCGCCTTTGTCTCCCAAACGCTGACATATGCACATCGCACCAGGTATTCATTTGAGGCTGAGTCGACCTAGGGGAGGCCCAGGAACCGGTTTAAATAATCGTCATCGGTGTTGGTGGCCGCGAGCGGGAATCGAACTCGGGTCGCCGGGTTCGTAGCGCAGCGCTAACCGCTGCACCACCGCTCCCCACACACTTTCACATGTACACAGACAAAGGTCCCCCGTACAGCCTTAACAGACTATAGGGGCAAGTGCTGTTGGCGAGTATCACCTATGAAGGCTGGAACGGCACACGAGGCGGGTGGGTAGCCAGAACCACTCCCGGCCGCCTTTGTCTCCCCAGTGGCGATGTTTACACACCGCACCGGCTCAATCTAGGGGAGGCCCAGGACCGGTTGAGATAATCGTCACTGGTGTTGGCCGTGAGCGGGAATTTAACAGCGCTACCGCTACACTACAGCACCACCACCAACAACAACCGTCCTTCACCACTAAGCGGCAGTGATGTCACCACGGCGCTTGTGCCAGGCTATGTGCACATTAAGGCCACGTGAAGTGTCGAACGCCCGCTTGCAGGAGGTCACGGGTGCCATGGGTCGACTGAGTTAGACGACTGGGCCGATGCACCACCTGGGCCCTCTACTGTGCCAACTTGTTGTGTTTTAACCACCAGGCACCACCAACACCAACATCGCCCCCACAACAACCCCACTACCACCACCAGCCCTACCACCAGCACCACCACCAACACCGTCACCACTACTAGCACCACCATGCCCACCAATAGCACCACCACTACCAGCAATATCACCACCACTACCACCAATATCACCACCACCAACACCACTACCAGCAATATCACCACCAATATCACCACCACCACCACTACCACCAATATCACCACCAACACCACCACTACCACCAATATCAGCACCACCAACACTACTACCACCAATATCATCACCACCATTACCACCAATATCACCACAACCAGCAATATCACCACCACCACCACCACTACCATCAATATCACCACCACCAATACCACCACTACCACCAATATCACCACCACCACTACCACCAATATCACCACCACCAACACCACCACTACCACCAATATCACCACCAACACCACCACCACTACCACCAATATCACCACCACCACCACCAACACCACTACCACCAATATCACCACCACCAACACCACTGCCACCAATATCACCACCACCAACACCACTACCACCAATATCACCACCACCACCAACACCGCTACCACCAATATCACCACTACCATCACCACCACTACCAGCACCACCACCACCAACACCACTGCCACCAATATCACCACCACCAACACCACTACCACCAATATCACCACCACCACTACCACCAATATCACCACCACCAACACCGCTACCACCAATATCACCACTACCATCACCACCACTACCAGCACCACCACCACCAACACCACTGCCACCAATATCACCACCACCAACACCACTACCACCAATATCACCACCACCACCACTACCACCAATATCACCACCACCAACACCACTACCACCAATATCACCACCACCACTACCACCAATATCACCACCACCAACACCGCTACCACCAATATCACCACCACCAACACCGCTACCACCAATATCACCACTACCATCACCACCACTACCAGCACCACCACCACCAACACCACTGCCACCAATATCACCACCACCAACACCACTACCACCAATATCACCACCACCACCACTACCACCAATATCACCACCACCAATACCACCACTACCACCAATATCACCACCACCACTACCACCAATATCACCACCACCAACACCGCTACCACCAAAATCACCACTACCATCACCACCACTACCAGCACCACCAGCACCACCACCACCATCACCACCACTACCAGCACCACCACCACCATCACCGACAGCGGCGGCGGCAAGCCCCGTGAGCAGCACCTTGCGCGGTGGCGCCGGGCCGCTTGGACACGGCCTCCCAGCGCACGGCGTAGTGGTCGACGTCGCCCGCGGCCGCGGTCCACGCCAGGCGCAGGCCGTCCTGGCGTCGCTCGGCCACGCGCACGCCCGACACCGCGGCCGGGTCTGCGCGCACGGCACAGACGCACCGGAGAGACACGCGGCAGTGATACACGGCAGTGATACACGGCAGTGACACGCGGCAGTGACACGCGGCAGTGACACGCGGCAGTGATACGCGGCAGTGATACGCGGCAGTGATACGTGGCAGTGATACACGGCAGTGATACACGGCAGTGATACACGGCAGTGACACGTGGCAGTGATACACGGCAGTGACACGTGGCAGTGACACGTGGCAGTGATACACGGCAGTGATACACGGCAGTGACACGTGGCAGTGATACACGGCAGTGACACATGGCAGTGACACGTGGCAGTGACACGTGGCAGTGATACACGGCAGTGACACATGGCAGTGATACACGGCAGTGACACATGGCAGTGATACACGGCAGTGATACGCGGCAGTGACACGTGGCAGTGATACACGTGGCAGTGATATACGGCAGTGACACGCGGCAGTGACACGGCAGAGGCACGGCAGAGGCACGGCAGCAAAACGGCGCGTCTCATGTGGTGGGGGGTGGTGGGTGGGTGGCAGTGCGTGGGTTGGTGGGTAGGTGGCGGTGGGTGGAGGGTGGGTAGTGGGTGGGTGGGTGGTGCGTGGGAGGGTGGTACGTGGGTGGGTGGTGCATGGGTGGTGCGTGGGTGGGTGTGGGGTGCGTGGGTGGGTGTGGGGTGCGTGGGTGGGGGGTGCGTGGGCTGTGCATGGTGCGTGGGAGGGTGGTGTGTGGGTGTGAGGTGCGTGGGTGGGTGGTGTGTGGGGTGCGTGGGAGGGTGGTGTGTGGGTGGGGGGTGCGTGGGTGGGCGGTGCGTGGGTGCCGCATGGTTTGGCGGCGCGGACGCGCGGTCACCCACGCGTCTGCGCCGCCACGTCGCTGCGGTTGCAGTATGTCCCGCTGCACGTCTCCACCGAGACGGTGTAGACGCGGCCGGGCACCAGCGACCACACGGACGTCTCGGTCACCCAGCGCGGCTGCTCCTGGCTGTAGACGGCCTCGCCGCCGCCTCCGCCGCCGCCGGCGCGTCGCACCGTCAGCCGGTACCGGTCCACGACGCCCACCGCGGGCGGCGCCCACGAGACGCGGAGGAGATCCCCGCGGCCCGCGTTGGTCGCCGCCACGTCCACCGCGCTGCCGGGGACTGCGGTGGTCGGGAGGGGAGCGGAGGGGGGGGGGGTGGTCAGGTGAAGGGTCGGGAGAGGTGATGGGCGAGCGCCACTCACTTTGGCCGGGGGGGGGGGGAGGAAGGAGGAGGAGTTGAGAGTGGGGGGGAGGGGGGGGAGTGAGGAGGACAGCTGCCATCAGAAGAGTCCCTTTGGCTCAATCTGCAGAAGGGCATGGAGATGGTTGGGATGAGGTGTGGGGGCATTGAAGCCAGCGCCGTCAGCCGGCTTCAATGCCCATCCACCAACCCACCTACTCAGCCAACCAACCACCCACCTAAACCACCCACCCATCCACCCACCCATCCACCCACCCATCCACCCACCCATCCACCCACCCATCCACCCAAACCACCCACCCATCCACCCACCCATCCACCCACCCATCTACCACCCATCCACCCATCCAACAACCCAGCCGTCCACCATCTCCGCTCAACCCCAACCCCAACCCACAAACCCCCAACCCAACCCACCCGTGAGCTCCGACACGGAGGCGGTGGCCGCACGGCCCCCGCTGAGCGCCGCCACCTGCACCAGGTAGCGGCCCCCCGGCACGAGCCCGCCGAAGGCGTGCTCCCGCGCCCCCGGCGGCAGCGACGCCTCCGTCACCAGCGACTTCCCGCGCAGCAGGGAGACGCGCAGGCCATCCACGTCGCCCGCCGCTGGGCCCCAGCTCACTCGCAGCGAGTCCACCGCCCCGCCGTTGTCCGCCCGCAGGTCCGGCACCGGGGACGGCACTGACCGGGGGACGGTGGGGGGGGGGGGTGGGGGGTTACGGGGGGGGGGGGGAGGAGGGGGAAGGTTTTTAGAAAGCGACCTGGCCACAAATGATGATAGCCCAACGAAGTGGCTTATCGTCGTCGCGTGGAAATTTACAGGCGGTCAAACACCCTTAAAGACGTGACGTTGATTTATTTATTTTTCCCCGTGAAGGGAAAAGCCGGGCGACCCGGGGAGAGAGACACGCAAACTCCAAATATACAGCGGCAGCAGGCCTCAGGACTTGGATCGAACCCACGACCTCCTGCGTACCAGGCGAGGTAGCTAACATCTAACCACCGCGGCGGAAGGAAGAACGTTCCAGACGGCCGCGCGCGGGCGCGATGCCGGCGACCTTCGTCTTTGTTCGACGGTCAGCCAAAAGCCGCCGCCGCCGCTGCCGCCGCCATTAAGACGACGGCCGGAGTCCGCGCGACGATCGTTTATCGCTCCTTGACGAGATCGGCAGCGGGGTGCTATCGCGGCTCGTTCATTTTGGGGCGCGCGCTCTGCGCGTGCGGCTACGCTTGCTGCGGCGTTGAGCCCGAGCGATACGAGCGAGAGTCGGTGGCCTTAAGAGCGTCGTCGTCACAAGAAATCGGGGTCGTCGATTCGGCTCCATCTTTCTTGACGCGGCAGTTATAAAAAAAAAGGGGGGAGATTTTGGGTCAAATTCCGGACCCCTTCCTCCCTACCCCCTTCTCGCTCACCCCCCCCACCACCCCTCCCACCGCCCTCTGTGTCCACCCGCGGCATACATGGATTGGGTGCACCACGTTGGCCAGTAAGCACGGTACGTCGGGCACACGTCAAGCCAATGCTGGTCTCTGTGGACATCTGTGGGGCTCTGTGTAATTATATGGGTATCTGTGTAAGTATATGGGTCTCTGTGTAAGCCTATGGGGCTCTGTGTAAGTCTATGGGTCTCTGTGTAAGTCTATGGGTCTCTGTGTGAGTTTATGGGTCTCTGTGTACATATATGGGTCTCCATGTGACTCTATGTGTCTCTGTAAATCTGTGGTTCTCTGTGTAAGTCTATGGGTATCTGTGTAATTCTATGGGTCTCTGTGTAAGTCTATAGGTCTCTGTGCAAGTCACTAGTGACCAGGCTGAGATCTTTGACGTACGACACTTGAAAACCCGTTTTAATCACAGCCGAGTCTAGGTAAATCTGTGGCTCGCTATGTAGGACCCTAGTCTATGGATTTCTATATGAAAATATGGGTCGATATCTAAATTCATAAAAGTCTACGAGCATCAACAAATCCACCATCATCGCGAGCGATCATCAGCGATCGTCCTAAAGAGGTGCTCGCTAACACCTTCAGCCCCTACAGTCTACACATCTGCCCACCCGCTAACCTGACAACCTGCCAGCCACCTGCCCACTGACCCACCTGCCAGCCCACCCACCTACCAGCCCACCTACCTGCCAGCCCACCCACCTACCAGCCCACCTACCTGCCAGCCCACCCACCTACAAGCCCGCCTACCTGCCAGCCCACCAGCCTGCCCACGCACCTGCCAGCCCACCCACCTACCAGCCCGCCTACCTGCCAGCCCACCAGCCTGCCCACGCACTTGCCAGCCCACTCACTTTCCAGCCTGCCTGCTATCCCATCCGCCTGGCCACACCCCTGCCCGCCCTCCTGCCTGCCAGTCCGCCCCCCTGCCAGCCAGCCAGCCAGCCCGCCTGCCAGCCCAACAGAGCCTGCCCATGCGCTTGCCAGTCCCACCCCAGCCCCTGACCCCGGGCGATGCTCACGGGTCCTGGCCGACACGGATGAGAAGCTGCTGAGGTTGCCACTGATGGTGAAGACGAGGATGAAGTAGAGGCGCCCCGCTGTGAGGTTGTGGAACACCGTCTCCGTGGCATCTCGGGGCAACGTCCGCTCGTGAAGGTCTCGGCGTTCTGGCTGGACTTCTTGACGCCCTTGCTGGACATCTTGACGTGCTGCCTGGAGGTCTGGATGGCCTGGCTGGAGGTCTGGACGCCCTTGCTGGAGGTCTGGACTTCCTTGCTGGAGGTCTGAACGTCCTTGCTGGAGGTCTGAACGTCCTTGCTGGACATCTGAACGTCCTTGCTGGAGGTCTGAACGTCCTTGCTCGACGTCTGGACGTCCTTGCTGGAGGTCTGGACGCTGCAGCCGGACGTCTCGGCGCCGCGGCTGATGGTCCTGAGGTTCCGATTGGAGGTCCGGACGTCCCGCCTCGAGGCTGTCACGTCCCGGCGGAAGGCCTCGAGGCTCGGGCAGGAGGCGTTCGGGTGCTGGCCGGAGGTCCGCCTGGGCCTCGGGCGCGTGCAAGAGGACGCGGTACGTGTCCAGGTCGGAGTGGGGCCGCGTCCACGCGATGCTCACGCCGCTCGTGCTCACGTTGTGCACGCGGAGATCGGAGACGGCCAACGGGACTGGAGACGCGCGGAAGCAACGGGGACGGGGAGACAGCGGACGGGGAGACAGCGGATGGGGAGAGAGCGGACGGGGAGATGGCAAGAGAGGTCAGTAAGGGTGTGTGAGATAAATGGACGACGACGATGATGATGGTGATGCCTCGGATCAGACCTCTATGATGATGATATCATGGTGACACCATTATGATGATGATGATGCAGGCGGTGGTGCCTATGCTGCACGTGACTGCCCGTGATCCAGCACCTGCGGAGGCAGCTAAGGGTTGGTGGATCACCCTCGCACAAATGTTGAGAAGAAGGGCTGTTGCATGCGTGGCTTTCCTCCGGGTGCTCCGGGTATCCACCCGGGCAAACATCGCGATGTGGAGCCACGCACACAGAGAACGTGGGTGACTGTTGGCTAGTGCCCGGTTCGGGCAGCCGCCTTCCCAAAGTGCCTGTCTGCGGCTCACCCGCGCCCCCTGCGTCTACGGGCGCTGCCCCCCCCGCGCGCTCGTTACAAAGTTGCAACTCTCGACGACGATTCCACCACCGGCCAAACGACGACAACGATGACGAACGTCACCCACCGGCGCGCGTCTCCTCGCACGCCCTCGCCACCTGGCCGCGGGCGTGCGTGTCCACGCACACGCGGTACGCCCGTCCCGGGTACACGCCGGGCACCGTGAACCGCAGCCGCCCTGCCTCCTCCGTCCCGTCCTTCCCATCGTCGCCGCGGTCACCGCGGGCACGCGCCGGCCGGCAGGGCACGGCGTGGCTGGAGACGAGCTCGCCGCTGGCCGCGGCCAGCAGGCTCAGCTCGCAGCGAGACGCGCGGCCGCGGGCGGCCACCCAGGAGACGGAGGCCTCGCGGCTCGAGGAGTTCACGGCCAGGTCGCTCGCGGGGGCCGGCGCTGAAAGGGCGGCGGGGAGGACCACACAAGGGGGAGGAGGGGGGGGGGGGGATATCAGCCGAGTGCCCTGGTTACCTGCCGATAACCCCGTGATGATGATCGATTTGGGCAAAAGCAAAGACAAAGATCCCTCCCTCCGCATGTATAGCCTTAACAGACTGTTGGGGCGCTCCTCGATAGGGCGCTGTATTTGGCCTACTCTTTCATGCTGGTCAGACGTCTTGAAAGACGTGGTAGCACCCACACATTGCCTCGTTTGAGCCGAGAGGCACATTCGGCTGGACATGTTTCGACAAATATCACCCGTGCAGCCATAGCAGACTTTTGGGACGAGGGCTGCGAGCGAGCGGCTACGAAGGCCGGCACGGCGGCACGTGAGGGCCGGGTGGGTGGCCAGCGCCACTTGCCGGCCTGCCTTTCGTCTCCCCAGTGCCGACGTTGACACGCCGGGGAGGCACCCAAAGACTGGCTGCGGAACGACGCCACACCGGTCCTGCTCGGTCGTTCCAGGATTCCGGTGTCAGCACCGGTAGACACGTGGCCCAGTGCCGCCCCCCCCCCCTCAACCCGACCATCCCTCCGCCGGGCCCCCCTCACCTGCGCTGCCGCTGCCGGTGCTGCCGGCACTGGCGTCTCCGCTCACGACGCTCACCGTCACCGCGTACTCGCGGCCCGGCTCGAGGTCCCGGAACCGGCAGCTGAGGTCGCCAACGGCCGCCGCCGCCGCCGGCACGGACAACGAGCGCAGCGGCGCTGGCGGGGACGGCACCACCGCCACCGCCGCCACGGCCGCGCCGGCTTCGTCCGGGGTCGCCGGCCGTACGGTGACCTCGTAGCGGTCGGCGTCGCCGGGGGTCGCGGCCCAGCTCACGCTCAGCTCGCCCGGCGAGGGGCCTCCGGTCACGGCGAGCCGCGGGACGGGCGCCGGATCTGGAGCCCGTGGGGAGACACGGACGGGAGGAGGAGGTGGGTGGAGGAGGGCGGGAGGGAGGGTAGGCGGAGAATGGCCACCAAGGTGATCCCGCGTCAGCCCCTGGCCGGCCGAAACGCTGGCAGATCACGCGCCGGTGGGGTTGTACGCCAGCGGGATCGCACATCCGTGGCACCTTTGGCGGAACCGTACCTGCGCGGTAGGTGACCACCGCCTCGCTGTGCGCGCCGCCACCGCCGCCCAGCAGGGAGCGCACCGACACGGCGTAGGCCCGGCCCGGCGTGACGTCCCGCAGGGCCCACTGACGCGTCGACGGCGGCAGCGAGGGGCTGTCCCGCGAGGGCCCCGACCCCCCCCGCCGGGAAGGGGGCCGTCGCCGCGGCCGCTCGCACCACCAGGGCCTCCGCGCGGCCCTCGGGGGGGTCCCACGAGACGAGGGCCGTGCCCGGGCCGCCGGGGCCCGCCGTCACACGGAGGGACCGCACGGGGGCCGGCACTGTGGAGCAGACACGCGGAGCGGCCCGGTGGAGGAGGTGCGTACGTGTGCGTGGTGCGTGCGTGTGCACGCTGAACTTCTTTCGCACCATACATAATCGGAGGTGTGGGGGAAAGACAAAAAACTATAGGTCTCAGTGTGAGACTGTGGGTCTCTGGGTGAGTCTGTGGGTCTCTGTGCGAGTCTATGGGTCTCTGGGTGAGTCTATGGGTCTCTGTGCGAGTCTATGGGTCTCTGTGCGAGTCTATGGGTATCTATGCGAGTCTATGGGTCTCTATGCGAGTCTATGGGTCTCTGTGCGAGTCTATGGGTCTCTGTGCGAGTCTATGGGTCTCTGTGCGAGTCTATGGGTCTCTATGCGAGTCTATGGGTCTCTGTGCGAGTCTATGGGTCTCTGCGCGAGTCTATGGGTCTCTGTGCGAGTCTATGGGTCTCTGTGCGAGTCTATGGGTTAGCGCAGTGCGCTAACCATTGCGGTACCGCTCACATATACACAAAGATCCCCTGTATAGCCTTAACATACTTTTCGAGCAAGTTCTGTTAGCGAGCACCTATGAAGGCCGGCAACGGCACACGAGTTGGGTGATGTGGCCAACGCCACGCCCGGCGGCGATGTTTTACACACCGTACCAGGCACACACACGAACACACACACACACGAACACACGCGCACGAACACACGCGCACGAACACACACACACACGAACACACACACACACGAATACGCGCGCACGAACACGCGCGCACAGAGAAGAGACGAGCGAGCGGCGAAGCGTGAACTCACACGTGGTGGCCTCGACGCGCGCCCAAGCTCCCTGGCGGTCCCCGGCGCGCGCCCGCACGGACACCTCGTATCTGGTGCCCGGGCTCAGGCGGCCCACGGTGGCCGACAGCGGCAGGGCGGCGGCGGCGGCGGCGACGGCCTCCACCACCTCGGCGACGGCCCGGCCGGGGGGGCCGTTGGGCTCCTTGGCCTCGGCGAGCACCTCGTAGCCGTGGGCGGCGCCGGGCGGCGGGAGCCACGACACCGTGAGGCTGCGTTCCGTCGTCGCGTCGCGGAGGACGTGCAGCCGAGACACGGCTTCGGGCACTGGCGGGCGGGCGGGCGGGCGGGCCCAGGCGGTCGAAGGCGTGCGGGAGCGGGCGTGAGAAGGCGAGAAGATGAACAACAACAACAACAACAAAGAAAACCCAACAACCGCCACGGGCGGCGAGTGGCGTGGGGTTCCACCGTGCCGCACTGTCGTCTGCCCGGGGGGCTCACAGAGCGGTGTTTCCGCGGCGATGGATATCGTTTATGCACCGCGCGACTGTATTCTGCTTCGCTTGAAATGTGTTTTAAAACGTCCATTAAATGCCTTCGTCAATATTGTAACATCGCGGCGGCGGCGGCGGCGTGTGATGTCATCGCCCTTGGCTGAAAAACGCCGGGTGGCCCTTCTTATCGATTTCATCTGCTTTTGCTCGGCAGCACAACCTCACACACTCGACTTTCACTCCGTAGACAATATATAATCAGACCACCTGCGTGAGAGTCATGGTGGGCGAGCCCGAGTCACGGGCAGAGATAACGCAACAACACTGACGGCCTTAGCTGGGCAGCCTGAAACAAGACGACGATTCTCCGTGCGGCCTTTTCAAAGCCTCTTGGTGCAAGAGCTGTTAGCGAGCTGCTCACGAGGGGGGTGGGTGGGCAGCACCACGCCCGGCCGCCTTTGTCTTCCAAGTGGCGATGTTTTACTACACACCGCACCGCGACTCACTTGAGGCTGAGTCGACCCAGGGGAGAACAAGGACCGATTCAGGTCATCAACACCAGTGCCGGTGGCTGTGAGCGGGAGTCGAACTCAGGTGGCCAGGTTAGTAGCGCAGCGGCAGCGCTAACCGCTACACTACCGCTCCCCGTAACAACAGCGACCGCCATTCGTCACGAAGTGGTGGCGACGTCACCACGGCGCTTGTGCCAGGCTAGGTGCACTTTAAGGCCACGTGAAGTTTCGAACGCCCGCTGGCGGGCAGGAGGTCACGGGGCAGACCCAGCAGGTGCCATGGGTTGACTGACTGAGATGAGTGGCCGATGCACCACCTGTGCCCCCCTACTGTGCCAACTTGCTGTGTTGTAAGCGTCGCTACTCTGCCCCCTGTTGTTGCTGGAGGGCGACTGCCTCCAACTTCCCAGTAGCAGCGTCCTTCACGAGCCTCCTCCACAGAGGCCGATCTTGAACACCGCTGGTACCGGTCATCGGAAGGTCCAATCAGCTCCACGTCCTCCTGTACCACATCACTCCATCTCTTCTCCAGCCCGTGCCGCGCCCGTTTAGCCCCCTCGATCCAGCCGAACAAAAGCTGTTTCGGCATGCGGTGGCTGGGCATGCGGGCTACATGACCCAGCCAATGCAGCCTTGCCTGCCAGAGGAGCTCACCGATGGGACTTTGTCCCAGATCTTTCTTAGCGCACCGCGCGAACTGCTACACTACCGCTCCCCACATGGACACTCATACAGACACAAAGGCAAGCAAAGACAAATATCCCCCGTATAGCCTTAACAGACTGTTGGGGCAAGTGCTGTTAGCGAGCAGCAGCACCACCAATGAAGGCTGGCACGGCGCACGAGGAAAGGGGGTGAGCGGCCAGCACCACGTCCGGTCGCCTTTGACTCACACACGCGCAGACGCACGCGCGCAGACACACGCAGACGCACGCACGCAGACGCGCACAGACGCGCACGCAGACACATGTAGACGCACGCACGCAGACACACGCACGCAGACACAAAGATAAAAAGACAAAGATCCCCCATATAGCCTGTAACAGACTGTAGGGGCAAGTTCTGTTAGCGAGCACCTATGAAGGCAGGAACGGTACACGAGGGGGTGGGTGGCCAGCACCACGCCCGACCGCCTTTGTCTCCCTAGTGGCGATGTTTACACACCGCACCAGGTACTCATTTGAGGCTGAGTCGACCTAGGGGAGGCCCGGGACCGGTTCAGATAATCGTCACTGGTGTTGGCCGTGAGCGGGAATCGAACCCGGGTCGCCAGGTTTCATAGCGCAGCGCGCTAACCGCTACACTACCGCTCCCCACACACCGCAGACACACACGCACGCGCGCTAGCGCACGGCGAACTCACCGGTGCGGATCGGCAGACTGGCGGCGCTCCCGACGCCTCGTGCCGGGCGCACGTCCACTCTGTAGCCGCTGCCAGGTCGCAGGTCACTCAGAGTGCACGAATACATGGGGACGGCAGCAGCAGCAGCCGATGCTGCGGCCTCTCTTCCTCCTCCTGCTCCACCTCCTCCTCCATCGCAGTCGGCCAGCTGAGAGTCGAACCCATCCTCCCCAACGTAGCGGGCGGTGAAGGAGCAGCCGCGGCTGACGGCTGACCATGTGAGCAGCGCGCCTTGCAGGAAGACATCCGCCGTCAGGTGGCGGACGCCGCAGTCGGGCTGGGGCGTTGGGGTCGACGCGGCCGTGGTTGTGGCCGTTGTTGTTGTTGTTGGTGGCGGTGTCGTTGTTGTTGTAGTTGTTGCGGTTGTTGTTGTAGTTGTGGTTGTTGTCGGGGAGGCGGCTGCGGTGGCGACAGGGATGGGTTGCGTTCTCTGCAAGGGTTGGGAGAGTGGTGAGTGAGCAGTGGGTGAGTGGGTGAGAGAGTGGTAGGTGAGCGGGTGGGAGAGTGGTGGGTGAGCGGGTGGGAGAGTGGTGGGTGAGCCGGTGGGAGAGTGGTGGGTGAGCGGGTGGGAGAGTGGTGGGTGAGCGGGTGGGAGAGTGGTGGGTGAGCGGATGGGAGAGTGGTGGGTGAGCGGGTGGGTGAGCGGGTGGTAAAGTTGATGGGAGGGTGAGTATATGGGTGAGTCGGCGGGAGAGTGGGTGAGCAGGCAAGTGGATGGAAGGGTGGGTGAGTATATGAGTGAGTGGGTGGGCGGGTGAGTGGGTGAGTGCGCATATGGGTGAGCGAGTGGGTGGGTGCGTGAGTAATTGATTTGTTGAGCGAATGGGTGGGTATTTGGATAGGTAGATGAATGGGTGGTGGTGTGCGGAGATGAGTGTGACAGAAGCACCCACGTTACGAATAGGACACAAGCACATGGGTACATCTACTGGACTGTGAACTGTGAACAGTCCAGTAGATTATTTTACTTATCTTCTTTGGTTCTTTCGGTGTATGCTTTAACTTTAACATAGCCTTTTCTGTGACCAGTCACAAGCTAATCACTCAGCCATTTCAATGCTAAATTATATGCTAATTCCTTTGTCAAGGCGCTTTGTTTCTTCTCACACAGCTTAAAGGTCGTGATCTCAGCGTGGCTTTCTCACTCCAGCGTTGTCCTCCAGACAGTCTCGTCCCCTTCACCTGATGAAGGCCGCTTGTGTTGTGGCCGAAACGTCGTGAGAATATTATTGTGTTATTTTATTTTATCAATTTATTATTTTATTCTCATTCTACGTGAATTTACCGAAAGAACCAAAGAAGATGAATCCTTGCAGTCACGAAAGCTTTAAATCGATATTTTACTCATATTACTAAATTTGCTTACTACCGTGCTTGTTTATAAGTTCATTCTCTCCTCCGTCCCCCATGGGCAGGAATTCCACACAACTCCCCCTCTGCACCCCCCCCTCTCTCTCTATTTAAGGCCTCGACACAGACATGTCTTTCTGTGCGCCTATGTGGGTGTCTGTGTGTCTATGTGTGTCTATGGGTGTGTCTGTGTGCCTATGTGTGTGTCTGTGTGCCTGTGTGTGTGACCCTGCTGAGGCTGCGGTGCCTCAAATATTGGAAGAAGTCACCCCCTGTGAGTGGCTGGCTGAGGTGCCATCTGTTGAGGAAGTACTGAAGGCGATCCGGAGTCTGAGACCAGGAAAGGCAGCGGGCAGAGATGATCTCCCAAGCGAAATGCTGAGGGAGGGTGGCGTTTGTGCACAGACTGCCCTATATGACATCATAACAACAGTCTGGACCACTGGAGGATTGTAAGGATGCCCTAGTGGTCCCCCTCTTTAAGAAGGGGGACCGCACAGACTGTAACAACTACAGGGGCATCTCACTCCTCAGTGTGCCGGGAAAGGTCCTGGAAAGGATTATTAAACATCGCCTTGCCAGGCACGCTGAGGAGAGGCTCGCGGAGCCCCAGTGCGGTTTCAGGAAAGGGCGGTCCTGCACAGATGCCATATTTTCTGTCCGTCTGCTACAGCAGAGGTGTAGGGAATTCCAGCAAGACCTACATCTCTGCTTTATTGACCTGGTCAAGGCCTATGATACCATCAGTAGGCCTGGCCTCTGGGTTGTTCTTCGTGCTTTTGGAGTCCCTGACCCTCTGCTCACGATCATTAAGGACCTTCATGATGGTGAGCGGGCCCGGGTAAAACTACGTGGCCGGGAGTCAGAGCCATTCCCTGTACACCTTTGGATGCGACAGGGATGTCCTCTGGCTCCCACATTATTTAACACCTATTTTGACCACATAGTTCGTGAAGCCTTCAATAGCTGTACCGTGGGAATCTCCATATGGTACAGATATAATGGGAGGCTGATCGATGCCCGGGTGCGGTCAAGGGATGGCTCCCTATTGCTCAACCACGTTATGTATGCCGATGATTTGGTAATAGCTGCTCATTCAGAGGAGGAGTTGGAGACGCTGCTGCTGAGACTGGAGCATGCCACTAAGAGATGGGGCCTTACCATCAGCCCCACCAAAACTAAGCACCTGCCTGGGTATTTTGTACCATCGGACACTCCACACCCACAACTCCCAATCGGTGATGGGGCAGTTCTGGAGAGAGTGGAGAGTTTCCCATACCTGGGCAGTGTGCTTATGACCGGTTCCAGTTTAACAGCAGAGGTATCACTCCTTATCAGTCGAGCGGCAATATCTTTTCATCGGTTGCGTAACGCTGTGTGGAAGCTACCTGGTCTGCCGCTCCGCACTAAGCTTCAGGTCTTCTCGGCCACGGTCATTCCCTCCCTTCTCTACGCTTGCGAAACGTGGACCCCCCTAATGTAACATCTTCGCCGGTTAGAAACATTTAGGCTAGCCTGCCTACGATCCATCTTGTGTTTAACCAGGCTGGATTGTGTGAGGAGCTCTTGAAAAATCTGGGCAAGGTCCCATCAGTGAGCGCCTCCGGCAGGCAAGGCTGCGTTGGCTGGGTCATGTAGCCCGCATGCCCAGACACCGCATGCCGAAACAGCTTTTGTTCGGCTGGATCGAGGGGGAGTGATGTGGTACAGGAGTACGTGGAGCTGAGTGGACTTGCCGATGACTGGTACCAGCGGTGTCAAGATCGGCCTCTGTGGAGGAGGCTCGTGAAGGATGCTACTGGGCAGTTGGAGGCAGTCGCCCTCCAACAACAACAGAGGGCGGAGGAGCGACGCTCACAACAACGAGCGGAACGCCGGGTGGCTAAAGCACAGCAGGTTGGCACAGAAGGGGGCACAGGTGGTGCATCAGCCAGTCATCTCAGTCAGTCGACCCGTGGCACCTGGGTCTGCCCCGTGACCTCCTGCCAGCGGGCGTTCGACACTTCACGTGGTCTCAGGGTGCACATAGCCTGGCACAAGCGTCGTGGTGACGTCACCGCCACTTAGTGGCGAACGGCGGTTGTTGTTGTTGTGTCTCTGTGCCTGTGTCTGTGTGCCTATGTGTGTGTCTGTGTGCCTATGTGTGTGTCACTCTGTCTCTGTGTGAGTCTCTCTCTGCTTGTGTTTCTGTCTGTGTGTCTCCGTGTCTGTGTTTTGTCTCTCTCTCAAATTTAGCAATCTTTGGAAGAACGTAATCAACCAGGTGGGGTGTTGACTCTTGTGTTGGCCGACTCTCTGTGTTGTATTGCATTATATTTCCAAGTTTACGATGTTTGTTTTCTCATTCATTTGTACCTGATGATGGTTGCTTGTGTTGCAATCGAAACGTCGTATTCTATTATTATTTAATAAAATTTCCAGTAGATGTACCGTACGTGTGAGTACACGTTGGAGCGCACTGCGCTAAGAACCCGGCGACCCGAGTTCGATTCCCGCTCACGGCCAACAACGGTATCGGATATATCTGAACCGGTCCTGGGCCTGCCCCTAGGTCGACTCAGCCTCAAATGAGTACCTGGTGCAGTGTGTAGTAAACATGCGGTGTGTAAACATCAAAGACGGCCGGGCGTGGTTGCTGGCCACCCACCCCCTCGTGTGCCACCGTGCCGGCCTTCATAGGGTGCCGCTACTCGCTAAGAGCACTTGCCCCGACAGTCTGTTGAAGGCTACACGGGGGACCTTTGTCTGAGTTTTTCGTAACCGCGTGCAGCACTCCATGCACGTGTTTGTTAAGCAAATTCAACACAATGTGTTGCAGGGATACAACCGCAAGACATACCAAGGCGATACGTTACATACCACACAATGGCACGCTAGCGAATGTTTATATTACATTATACACTCTGTCGTGGTATTCTAGTGCATTTGATGTACATTATATACTATATAGTGGTATTCTAGTGCATTTAATGAACATTATATACTATATAGTGGCATTCTTGTGCATTTAATGTACAATATAAACTATATAGTGGTATTCTAGTACATTTAATTACATTATATACTGTATAGTGATATTCTAGTGCATTTAATGTACAATATAAACTATATAATGGTATTCTAGTGCATCTAATGTACATTATATACTATATAGTGGTATTCTTGTGCATTTGATGTACATTATATACTATATAGTGGTATTCTAGTGCATTTAATGAACATTATATACTATATAGTGGCATTCTTGTGCATTTAATGTACATTATAAACTATATAGTGGTATTCTAGTACATGTAATTAGATTATATACTGTATAGTGGTATTCTAGTGCATTTAATGTACATTATATACTATATAGTGGTATTCTAGTGCATCTAATGAACATTATATACTATATAGTGGTATTCTAGTGCATTTAATGAACATTATATACTATATAGTGGCATTCTTGTGCATTTAATGTACATTATAAACTATATAGTGGTATTCTAGTGCATTTAATGTACATTATATACTATATATTGGTATTCTAGTGCATCTAATGTACATTATATACTATATAGTGATATTCTAGTGCATCTAATGTACATTATATACTATATAGTGATATTCTAGTGCATCTAATGTACATTATATACTATATAGTGATATTCTAGTGCATCTAATGAACATTGTATACTATATAGTGGTATTCTAGTGCATTTAATGTACATTATATACTATATAGTGGTATTCTAGTGCATCTAATGAGCATTATATACTATATAGTGGTATTCTTGAACATTTAATGTACATTGTATACTATATAGTGGTATTCTTGAGCATTTAATGTACATTATATACTATATAGTGGTATTCTAGTGCATTTAATGTACATTATATACTATATAGTGGTATTCTAGTGCATTTAATGTACATTATATATTATATAGTGGTATTCTAGTGCATCTAATATACATTGTATACTATATAGTGGTATTCTAGTGCATTTAATGTACATTATATACTATATAGTGGTATTCTAGTGCATTTAATGTATGTTATATACTATAGAGTGGTATTCTAGTGCATTTAATGTAT